GACGCCTTGGAAGGTGAGCAGAAACTCGTTAGACGAGCTCGCTGGAATTTCAGAGATATCGCGAAATTAGGTTTCGAGTTGGTTTGAAATTTGCTCTCGAACAACTAAGGCGACGACTTTTACTGACCATAGATAAGAAATCGCTTGCCCAGTCGTTTCTTCAGCTCCCCGCTAAGGTAATCCCAATCACGTACTCTGAAAGTTCATGTCATGTAATGACCGTACGAGTTGGACTCAGATCTCAAATCGACGAGACATGGCGGAATTAACGGCGATAGTTTGTGAGACCTACGTGGACACGATGCCGTGAACAAGAATGACTGCATGAACTGGCTCCTCCTCACCGCGCCTCGACACCTCGCTTGCTGACTGTTTCGAAAACCGAGGGCTCTTTGAAGAGCTCGATATCTCGTCGACAACGTCCATGCTTCCTGTCTCTTGCCCTTGAGCTTTTACTACCTGCTTCCGGTCTTTAATACCTAGCCAACCACTATTCTGCCTGCATTGGGAATTTGCCGTGCATCTTAGTAAGCAGTGCTGTGCTCCGGACAAAAGGGACACTCTCAGTAAGCAGTGCTGTGCTCCAGTAGAACGAGGCAGGCTCAGTAAGCAGTGAGCTCCAGTCAAACGAGGCACGGACCAGCACAAATTCAACATCCTGAAAATACCCTAACCGAAGGGCCTAAGTAGGCTCGCACGCCGCTAGCCCGAGACCATCGCGACACGCTCAAATGCAAACTGATCTTCGCTGAAAAGAACTGAACTGAACCGCCCTCGGCGCGCAGTGCCTAAGGCTCAAGGCAACGGTGTCGGTGCTATTCGCTTCTGCGTCAGAACGCAATTCCACTTTTATTGATATTGCCCCAGAGGGAGTCTTGGGATGGGTGATGTGCTGGCAAGCAGGTGATGTAGGGGCGGAACTCGTGTCATAACCAGCCCAAGGTGACGCGAGAAGAGAGGACCTTCAGGTGATTCGTGAGCAGTGTGGGGACCACAGAGTGTTGGCTTCGTTACCGAAAGGTTACTTCGGAATTCTACACGACTTTGAGAGCACACCTTATTCTCTAAATTACTTCACAAACCACACTCTGTGTTGGACCATATTAATAATTTATCAGCGATATTAACGGCATTTACACGAGCACTGAGGCAACAACATTCACAAAATCACCAAGGCCTTTTGGCTCTAGCTTGGCTGGAATTGCTGCCACTATTTACGGGAGTGTCTGCGCACTAAGCATCACGCTGCTCATACAAAGCTTGGCCAAGTTCTCCCGTCTCTGTTCTAGGCTTTTGATGTATTGAATAGCCATGCTAATTAAGGTGCACGTGTCCATCTTGGTGAACGACGCCCGCCTCTGCTGGCAAAACGTGGACGGAATAACGTTTTCGAGTTTGTTGAACCCAGCCCTGAAAAAGAAAAGTACAAATGTGGAAGACGATTAGCCATTTATTCGAACAGGCAACAAACACCGAGTCGCGACTTTATATGAGAAAAAACCACACTTGGCTTGATTTGTCAAGATGTTAAAAAAGAGAAAGAAAAAATCGCAGACTTACAATATGCGGTGGCGGCGATTCTTCTCGCGCATACTTCTCGGCTGGATATTGCCGGAACTATTTCCACTCCCTTGAGAACCACGGTTAGGCGTAACGAGATGATCTGGGTTCGGCGGCGTCGGAGCAGCAGCTGTGTCGCGACAATCCGCTAAAACAGCCCGCTGCGCAGACGTTTCGTTACACCGCGAGGAAATTACTTCTATCTTGAATTGCGGAAACGCTTCTGTGGTGGTTCCGGCGACACACGACGGCACGACGGCTTGGCTCGCTGGAACAGGGTTTCCTGCCGCAATAAGCGCCTCTTTAAGCATGTGCTGGATGATAACAGCATTGTCTAATTTCGAGTCGAGACATCTCGACTTCTTGGGGCTATGGCGGTTGACGTCTTCGTCCATGCAACGTTTTTTCCCAGCTGTCGCTGTTTTTCCGTCGCTCGATTCGCACACAGCCTTCGCTGCAACGGAAATCTCTGTTGACGCTGTCATGGCCGCTTTGCCGCTCGATGATCTCGCGTGAGAAACAGGAGGCACGTCGCAGGGACTATTTTTACACGCGGGTTGCCAACGGAAGTTTTCGTACCACGGCTCGAAGTCAACGAGTTCGGGAAGGAAGCTTGCAAGAGCTTGTGACATCGTAAGAAAGGGGCTGTGGAACTGAGCTGGAAAACTTGGGGATTGATCCAGAACGTGGCTGAATGCTATGGTGCTGGGGCTCCTTTTTGTAGAAAATCAGCAGCCGCTGCTGTGACAGTGGCTTGCAGGATAACTGGGGCACTTGCAGGAAGGGGAAGGGGGAGGGGAAGAAGAGGGGGGAGGAGCGAAGGGGCGGGCCAGAGGGGTGGGGGTGGGGGAGTGTGTGTGCGAGGAGGAGACTGGAATTTGGGCTTGAGGGCGCGGGTTGACTGGGAAGGAAAGATCCGCCAGACCGGCAATTCTTCCAAGCTCGTGTGACGTGACGAGGAGTCATGCATGACATGAACCAAGTACTGTACAGTAACCCACCCAACCCAACCCCCAACCTCCGGTGCTGCTCACCCCCTAGGGAAATCACATCGGCGGGCAAGAGCAGGATAAAGGGGGACTGGAATCAGATGCATTTAGACACGATCGAAAGGAGGAGGGAGATTGGAGGTGATCTCTTGTAGCTTTTACAAAATTCGAACAAAACCGGCTCGGCTGGCGACAGGATGCTGGTTCACGTGCTACTGTAGCAGGAGAACCGATTTTTATGACAGCGCGGACCAAGGAAGTCTCTGATTCGTTGGACTGCGAGGGCATGCTTGTGCTGGATTGGGCTGAGTCGTCCTCCATAGGATGATGTGGACACAATCTAGCATCTTCTGGCTCTCACATCTCCTCTGGCGAAACAAATGGCAGGGATTTGCCGGTGCTTGTGTCCGTATCCGAAAAGGAATCACGTGAAAATATAATATTCAATGCCCACATCAGAGGTGTAAATCGCCGTTACACAAACTCGAAGGGCCAAATGAAAACCCTGAGATATCTTCTTGTTTGCAGCACCCGTTATTCACATGGCGCTGGTACTATAGCTTTTGTAATACATAACACTGAGGCTATCTTAAAAATGCCGATGGGGATTGTCTACACGTGTGCACAACCTTCCCACCAGGTAAAATCTCGGTATGGTAATAAAAATGAAGGGAATTGATCCATGATTCTATATAGATCTCTAGGTCAATATGAGTCAATGTAATGCCCTGCCTTTATCATATTGTTATTTACAGCCACTATGACAAGATTTTTTTGAAGGCTTTTGCTGTCTCAAAATATTAGCACCTTATAATCGATCCTTGAGCTATTGTAATATTTGGTAATTTTTTGTAAGAATTAGTGTGGCTTTATGTCAAATAGGAAAACAATGGCCTCCTGCTAGTGAAAGTGTAGATGGTAAGGTTCACAGCGAACTGCTACTATCTGGGACTGTCTATACATATCATTGCTACTAGACTGGAGGCTTACCACCATTACACTGGCGCCACTCCCTCGTCAGTGTCACATTCCGGCCCTCTCGTACTCAACTCCCCAGCCCCTTCCGCCACTTGCCCCAGCTCTCCGCATGCCTTGCCCCAACTCCTCTGCCACCATCCCTCCGCCTCTCCCCATCCCTCCCCTTTTACCTCACTTGTCCCCATTTCCCCGGTGTTCCTTCTGTCCCCGTTTTCCCCACTTCCCCCCCAACCCCTCAACTCCATGCTCTTTCTAGTCTGCCCTAATCCGCTGCGATACCTCCTTTTTCCCCTCCTCTTCCATCTCCCAATCCCCGCTGCGAAGTAGCAGCAGTTTAGCAGCAGCAGCAGAACAGAGTGCCTGCGAGGCGATTAAGGCCAAAGCGCGTCAAGATGGTGCAGCCGCTTGTGAAGCCGAAGATCGTGAAGAAGAAGACTAACAAGTTCTGGCGGCCCCAATCCGACAGGAAAAAATGCGTGCCCGTGAGTCATTTTTATCGGCGGGTGATGCGGACACCCTTTGCTTACGCTTCGACTTTCCAGTAGTGCACCACAGATTCAGGAACCGAAGCAACATGTTTATTTCGCTAGACTAACCGATTGAACCCGACAAGTGGAGTATTTCAGACCAGGATTTTAGACCAGGACGATCGAAGCTGCTCGTATGCTCGATTTGACGCGGGCCGTCTAGCTCGTACTCGTGGCAGAACGGGGTTCGTCACATGTCGCTTTCTTGTGCCGTGCTCGGGCAGCTGCGTCGAAATTATGGAAGCGAGCCTCGTCTAGATTTGGCTAGGAAAGCTTGCACTGTTACGAAGTGTCGTGCCTCGTTTGGGGGTTCGAAAGGTGTTTCTTATGGGTGCCGTGCTCAGGCCGCTGCTTCGAAGTTATGAAAGCGATCCTCGTCTAGATTTGCGGGAGAAGCCTGCACGCTTAAGACGTTGCCGCTGGGGGGATGCATTGTCAGGAGCAGTGCGATTTGATCACCCGTGGTCCAGGATTTGGAGCTTGAAAGAGGGTGCTGGTAGTGTAGCTTCGGAGGGTTGCGACGTTGTATTTGTATATGCGAAGTTGTTTTAGTTGTATTAGTAGCTCCCTACTAGCGAATCAGAGCAGCTCGCGGCCCGTTGGATGTCGAGCAGCGCTTGGACGGGTTTCATATATTTTACACGCAGGCTGACGCTCAGAAACCCGTGTGGTTTTCAGATTTTGCCGTAAGGAAGAAGCCAGTAGACTAGTAGTAGATTCTTATCGACGAGTTAGGCGGTACGGACGCGAGTCTGCCAATGCTGTGATAGATTTGACGAGTTGATCGGTTTACGCCGATCACTTATATCCTGTGCCAGTATTCCAGCTGTCTCGGCTCCTGCGAGCCTTTTGCTGACTCAGTATCCAGTTACCATATCTGCCGTGACAGTGTTCTAGGAAAGTATAGTAACCTCACCATTTCGTTCCTCCTTCCCCTTTTCATCAGCCTTCATCATTTCCCACATCATCCCTTCCCTCCGGCGTGCCCTCCCGTCATGATTCCCTCGTTCCTCCTCCCTCCGCCCCACTCTTTCCCGCCCGTGCCCTACCCTCCCCTCCTCTTTTCGTCCCGTCGCCCTTCCTCTATCCCCTTCTCCCTCTCCCTTCTCCGCCCTTCCTCGTCTTCTCCTTGCGTCCTCATTCTCCTCGACTTCTCATTCCCCTCGCTTCCCCATTCTCCCCGCCTCCGTTTTCTCATCCTCGCTTCCTTATTCCCTGTCTTGCTCCCTTATTTTCCTCAACCCCCTCCCCAGCGTCCTTTCCTCTCTTGCACAGCATATCCTTCATTCATTACTGCCTCGTCCTCTCATCCTCTCTCGGCGCTCCCCCCCCTCCTATCGCGGGCTCCGCCGCACCCCCGTTACCAAACCCTTTATCAAGTTGGTCCAACGGTACCAACTCGCGCGAGTTCAAGAGCTCGCCGCTGATGACTTCCTTTTTATCCTTCCGCTACCTTTCGATCCCCGGCGGTCTTTCTTCCCCCTCTCGCCCTCTTTCCCCCCCTTCCCACATCCCCCTTCCCCTCAACAGGAGAGCTGGCGGAGGCCCAAGGGTATTGACTCGCGCGTTCGGCGCAAGTTCAAGGGCACGCCGCTGATGCCCAACATCGGTTACGGCAGCAACAAGAACACCCGGCACATGCTGCGCAGCGGGTTCCAGGTGTTCCGCGTGCACAACGAGAGGGACGTGGAGCTCCTGCTCATGCACAACAGGTACAGTAATTTACTGTAGGTTACCCTTTATAATCTAGTCAGGGTATCGGGGGACTTTTGAGTCGACTCAAAACTCACCCCGCTGTGCACAATAAGATCGACGTGCAATTCCAGCTATGCAATGCAAGGACCGTATTTCGCTGCATTTCGCAGACGAATGTACGATACTTCATTCGTCAAAACTCTTGATCAGCTCCTTCTACCTCTCCCTCTCCCCCTTTTCCTGCCAATTCCATTCCCCCCTGCCGCCTCCATCCCCGTCTCCTCTCCCCCCGCCCCTTTTCTCCCTTCTGCACCCCAGCCTCGGCCTCCTCTCTCTTCCATTGTCCTACCCTTCCTCTTTCGCGCGCCTCTTTCCATCGCATCCTCTTGCATATCCATGGTGACTTTTGAGTCGACTCAAAAGTCTTTCGCGCGCCTCTTTTCATCGCATCTTCTTGCGTATCCATCACATCCCGAGGGGTTCGTGACGTTTTTATTCGTTTCCCAAGGTTACGCTAGTGCGATGCCACTGTAGAATCTCCCCTTCTACAACCGATCGCCCCCCTATCGGTCCCCCCCATCGCCCCCCGATCGCCCCCCTATCAGCCTCCTATCATCCCCTTATCACCCCCTTTTTCGCTCCCCTATCGCCCCCTTATCGCGCCTATATCGCCCTATCGCCCACCTATCTCCTAGTGTTTACATTTACGCTTCTCGTGCCTCTTGAGTCGACTCAAACGACATGTCCACTCAAAAAGTTGGCTGTAGTGCGTAGTCAGTCCGCGAGAGGGAACTTCTGAGGCGCCACAATGGAATTTGGGCGCCTCGAAAAACATCCTGTACTGGTTCGCTGCAGTGCCTGTCAGTCGAAGCCACAGTAGAGTCCCCTACCGCCCAGGTATTCCCCAGAGCAAACGGTTAGGGGCCTGATTTTTTCAAGTGCACTAATGTTCATGTCCTGGTTCGCTGCAGGGCCTGCCACGGTAAAGTCCCCTACCACCCAGCTGTCCCCTAGTGCAAACGGTTAGGGTTGAACGTTTCATAGGTGCACTAAAACGTCATGTCGTGGTTTGCAGTAGTGCCATGTCAGTCCGCTAGTGCGAAGCTACTGTAGAGCCTCCTTTTTCCATGTTATCGCCTCAGCGTGTTTAGGGTTCGGGTTTCGAGTGTTCCCATCCTTCCTGCGAAACCCCACCGTCCCCACCACCCCATTCTTGTCTGCGCCCTCTTTCAGTCTAGGCACTCATAACACCGTCCAGCTTTACTGCCTTCTAACCGTCCGTTCTTCTGTCCCTGCTGCTCTCCCTGCTTGTTGTGAAAGTCCATGGCTCAGATTGCAATGCATCCCCATAGAGACGATTTGAAGACGTTTTTATAACAAGCCACGTCCCTGCCTGTGTCGCTGTTACCAACCATTGCAGGAAGTACGTGGCTCAGATCGCCTCTGCCGTCTCAACGCGCAAGCGCAAGGCTATCGTAGAGAGGGCGCAGCAGCTGGATGTTAAGGTGATCAACGGCAACGCTCGCCTGCGCAGCACTGAGGACGAATAGACTCGACACTGTTGTCTTGATGCCAGCTTGCAATGCATGCTTGTCGATGTGTATGCTCCAGAGTTGCTTGTAACTTCAGTTCTGTTACAAGTTTCTGTATCTGTCACAGGCAAAGTCCCAAGAAAGGCTGTGGTGCTTCCTGTTGGAATGGCAACACAATAGGTACCTGATGAGGTATTTTCTAGTTGAAAAAATTGCAAACAGGAGATGGAGTCTTGCTAGAAGCTAACGCGCGTCTGCGCAGGAGCGTGGATGCAAACGCGCGCGCATAAGCGACCTCGTTACCTAAACCCTCGTTATACTGAATTTCACCAATTGTACGATCTTGAGGGCAATAACGTAATGCGTAAAATGACAGCCTGTGAATAGTAAACAAATCCGTAACTGCAGAATACCAAGTCACTTGGGTAACGACGCAACGATAAATTCAGGGGATTTGATTTGCCCTGCAAACAGCCAATTGAATGCGGTAGTTGCCTCCCAATGCTTCTATGTCAATGGTCCTTCACACAGAACGACTGGGCCAAATCTGACCATATTCATTGTATTCTTCTCATGCCACGTGTATTGACACCATCCCACATCACATGCCTTATGCCAAGGGTCACGATGCCAGACGATATGCCTGATGCGAGGTCACCAGCTGTAACGTCAAGATTCTTATGCCTCGTCGTGTCAGGTCAACAGTGTCATGATCCTCGGCACTGTTTCAACTGCACACATTACGAGGTGTGGCGACACAATGGGGAGTGACATCATTACAAGGTGTAGCAAGCAGCACAACAGGGTGTTGCATCGTCACAAGGTAAGACTTGAGAGAGCAGGAGTTTCGAGCCAGCTCAAAACTCGAGTTACGATCCTCGGCAATTGCACAGGATCCGAGGTGTGGCAACACAACGGAGAGTCACATCACAAAAAGGTAAGGCTGCAAAGCAGGAAGGCAGACGGCCTTTCATGTGAAAAAGGCAGAGCATAGACAAGGCATATGCATCCGTTTGAGCACGCAACAGAACGCCTGCCTGTTTGATTTGCCCCCTTAGTCTCACCTCGTCTGGGCTGAAGTGCAGTATCATGCCGATCACAGGAATGAGGGTCGCCCTTTGAAAGGGCGTACGGACAGAGTGAGAGAGCGAGGGAACAAGGCCTCTAAAGGAGTGCCGGCCGGCCTAGGCTCACCTCGTCTGGGCTGAACTGCAGTATCATGCCGATCACAGGGATGAGGGTCGCCCTCTGGTCTGATTGGAGGGAAGAAGGGGCGGGAGGCAGAGGGAGCAAAGGGAGCGGAGGGACAGGGCACAGAGGAGGGAGGGGAGAAGGATGGGGAGGGGAGCAGGGTAGGAAGGGGGGTGAGATGGGGGCAAGAAGGGAGCAAGTTGTCTGGGCTGAAGTCACGTGTAAACACAAGTGTTTTGAGATGTCTCAAAACACTTCTGTTTACAAGTTGTCTGGGCTGAACTACAGCAGCATGCTGACCACAAAAACGAGCATCGCATTATTGTCTGATGGTGGAAACAGGCGTGAGAGGGAAAGAGGGAGAAAGGGGCAGGGCCCAGAGTGGGGAAAGCAGGGTGTGGGGTAGGGTGGGTAGGTGGATAACATGGGGCAAGAGGGGAGCAAGTTTTCTCGGCTGAACTACAGTAGAATGTTGATATCAGGAATAAGTGTTGCCCTCTGGTCGGATTGTCAGGCAGAGAGGGAGACAGGTAGCAGAGAAAGGAGCTGGAGAGATGGAACAGAAGTAACTATTTTGTTGTCAAATGAAGTGAGCAAGAAAGCGAGCAAAGAAATAAAGTATCGGTTGTGTCTCAACAGGGATGGCGTGGGATGCCTTGTGTGATTGCAAAATCATACCTGTTCTGATAAGCACTTGTACCTGTTCTGATAAGCAGCTGCAGAATCACGTTCTTCAAATAAGTCATGTCCACCGTCTCTCTCTTCTGCGCTCTCTCCATGTTCCTCAGCTCCTTCTTCAAGACAGATTCCTGTAGTCGAGGAAAGGGAGGAGGAAGGGAGAAGGGAAAATGGGAGTAGGAGGGGTGTTGCTTTTGAATCATCTCTTCTGCGCCCTCTCCATGTTCCTCAGCTCCTCCTTCAAGACGGATTCCTGGAAGGAGGTTGGTCAGATAAGAAAGAGGGCAGGGAGGAAGCAGGGCGTAAGAAGAAGGGTCGAATTGAATGCACTCCTCTCTCCTGCGCCCTCTCCATGTTCCTTAGCTCCTCCTTCAGTACAGATTCCTGGAAGAGTGGAAAAGGAGGAGGGAAGGAGGGTACAGGATGGACATTCTCTCTCTTTTGCGCTCGCTCCATGCTCCTTAACTCCTCCTTCAAAACGGATTTCTGGAAGAACAAACGCGGGAAGAAAAGGAGTGAGGGAGCAGGGGAAAAGTGGGGGTTAGATGCATTAACTCCTCCTCTCTCCTGCGCTCTCTCCACGCCCCTCAGCTCTTTCGTCAAGATGGGTTCCTGAACGAGAAACAAGTGGGGAAGGAAAGCGGGGACATGACATGGGAGATCGGAAAAAACAGACTGTTTTGGATACCTCAATAACGACTCCAATGGAATACAGTGACGAAGGTGGGAGGTTGGGACATAGCACCCACATGAACGCAACAGAAGGAACCACCTGAATGCAACAAGGCACCTACCTGGACGCAACAACGCACCCACCTGAACGCAACAGAGCACCCACTTGAACGCAACAGAACACCCACCCACCTGCTTGGCTCTCAGCTGATTCTCCCTCTGCAAGTCTGTGATCTCCTCCTGGTGGTGACAGGGGCAAACACAGGCATTAGATAGAGATAATTACAATCTTGTGTGTTGGAAAAACAAAAGATTCTCCCTCTGCAGGACTGTAATCTCCTCCTGGTGGTGCCTGGGGTAACGTAACACACAATAGAACATCAAAAGGCTTGTACACACAAAAGAGGTGACTTGAATGATCTCTTTCCTAGCAAAATTGCAAGCACAGGGACACAATTGGATTACGTGCAATGAATCACAGAGAGGCAGGGCATTGGCAAGCATATCATACAGTATCGTATCATACACGCATGTATGTATGGATATCAGCATGCATAAATTGTACATTTAGTGTATTTTGTTTGTACCTGCAGTGCCTGAATGTGCCGCCTGCACTGTGCTACCTCCTCCTCCCTTTGTGCTTGCTGCCGCGCAAGGAACTGGATGAAAGGGTGAAGGGTGCGGGAAGGATGAAAGGACAACAAAGGGGCAGACGCTTAGAAAAGGGGGGGGGGGGGGGAAGACTACACTATGAAAAGCGCCTGCACTGTGCTACCTCCTCCTCCCTTTGTGCTTGCTGCCGCGCAAGGAACTGGATGAACGATAAGGGTGCAGGTGGGATGGAAGGAAGACAAGGGGATAGACGCTTAGAAACAGAGCTCAGGAAAAGGGAGATCAGAGAAACCTTTCCCTCCTCCCTTTGTGCTTGCTGCCGCGCAAGGAACTGGATGAACGTTAAGGGTGGGATGAAAGGTTTTAGTTGGGATGGAAGAAAGACAAGGGGCGACAGACACTTACGAACTGAGCTCAGGAAAAAAAATAATAATAAAAAATAATCCTCCTTCACATGCAACAGATCAGAGGTCAAAAGGTTTTGTGAATTCTTGAAAGCATTGAATTGACTGTTGCGGAGATGGAAATCAGCGCAGAGGCAACAGAGGCAACAGAAGCAACAGAGGCAACAGAAGCAACAGAAGCAACAGAGGCAACAGAAGCAACAGAGGCAACAGAAGCAACAGAAGCAACAGAAGCAACAGAGGCAACAGAAGCAACAGAGGCAACAGAAGCAACAGAAGCAACAGAAGCAACAGAGGCAACAGAAGCAACAGAAGCAACAGAAGCAACAGAAGCAACAGAAGCAACAGAAGCAACAGAGGCAAGAGGGGCAGGAGAGGCAAGAGAGGCAAGGCAGCCATGAGAGGCAAGGAGCCGGCGTACCAGGATGTGTTGCTCTGCGATCGCAGCCTTCTCTGCTGGGTTGTCTGCCAACCCCATCCCCTCTGGTGGACGCAGCTAGAGCGTGGCACGGCATGGCATGGCAGCAGAGACAAGAGACGCAGCAGAGGGAAGAGAGGCAGCAGAGGGAAGAGACGCAGCAGAGGGAAGAGACGCAGCAGAGGGAAGAGACGCAGCAGAGGGAAGAGAGGCAGCAGAGGGAAGAGAGGCAGGAGTGGCAAGGGCAAGACGTACCAGTATGTGTTGCTCTGCGATCGCAGCCTTCTCTGCTGGGTTGTCTGCCAACCCCATCCCCTCTGGTGGATGCACAGAGGGCATGGCATGGGTGGGGGGGAGGAAGGGGGGGGGTAATATCAGGGAGGTAAACAGAGGTGACGGAAAAAGGAGGTGAGGACGGACAGGTGATGGATGAACGACATGGAATGGAACTCACAGAAAGTTGTCTCTTCAGGAGACAGGTAATGAGAGGCGATAAACTCAGGGTGTATGGAGACGAAGTGACAAAAAAAGAAGAGTTGACCCAGACAACAAGGAAGAGGGAGGACAGAAAGCGAGGGCGAGGGGGTACGGACCGAGGAGAGAGGCAACGCACCGAGGGAGAGAGGCAACGCACCGAGGGAGAGGCACCCGGGAGGAGGCAACGCACCGAGGGAGAGAGGCAACGCACCGAGGGAGAGAGGCAACGCACCGAGGGAGAGAGGCAACGCACCGAGGGAGAGAGGCAACGCACCGAGGGAGAGAGGCAACGCACCGAGGGAGAGAGGCAACGCACCGAGGGAGAGAGGCAACGCACCGAGGGAGAGAGGCAACGCACCGAGGGAGAGAGGCAACGCACCGAGGGAGAGAGGCAACGCACCGAGAGGAAGAGAGGCAACGCACCGAGGGAGAGAGGCAACGCACCGAGGGAGAGAGGCAACGCACCGAGGGAGAGAGGCAACGCACCGAGGGAGAGAGGCAACGCACCGAGGGAGAGAGGCAACGCACCGAGGGAGAGAGGCAACGCACCGAGGGAGAGAGGCAACGCACCGAGGGAGAGAGGCAACGCACCGAGGGAGAGAGGCAACGCACCGAGGGAGAGAGGCAACGCACCGAGGGAGAGAGGCAACGCACCGAGGGAGAGAGGCAACGCACCGAGGGAGAGAGGCAACGCACCGAGGGAGAGAGGCAACGCACCGAGGGAGAGAGGCAACGCACCGAGGGAGAGAGGCAACGCACCGAGGGAGAGAGGCAACGCACCGAGGGAGAGAGGCAACGCACCGAGGGAGAGAGGCAACGCACCGAGGGAGAGAGGCAACGCACCGAGGGAGAGAGGCAACGCACCGAGGGAGAGAGGCAACGCACCGAGGGAGAGAGGCAACGCACCGAGGGAGAGAGGCAACGCACCGAGGGAGAGAGGCAACGCACCGAGGGAGAGAGGCAACGCACCGAGGGAGAGAGGCAACGCACCGAGGGAGAGAGGCAACGCACCGAGGGAGAGAGGCAACGCACCGAGGGAGAGAGGCAACGCACCGAGGGAGAGAGGCAACGCACCGAGGGAGAGAGGCAACGCACCGAGGGAGAGAGGCAACGCACCGAGGGAGAGAGGCAACGCACCGAGGGAGAGAGGCAACGCACCGAGGGAGAGAGGCAACGCACCGAGGGAGAGAGGCAACGCACCGAGGGAGAGAGGCAACGCACCGAGGGAGAGAGGCAACGCACCGAGGGAGAGAGGCAACGCACCGAGGGAGAGAGGCAACGCACCGAGGGAGAGAGGCAACGCACCGAGGGAGAGAGGCAACGCACCGAGGGAGAGAGGCAACGCACCGAGGGAGAGAGGCAACGCACCGAGGGAGAGAGGCAACGCACCGAGGGAGAGAGGCAACGCACCGAGGGAGAGAGGCAACGCACCGAGGGAGAGAGGCAACGCACCGAGGGAGAGAGGCAACGCACCGAGGGAGAGAGGCAACGCACCGAGGGAGAGAGGCAACGCACCGAGGGAGAGAGGCAACGCACCGAGGGAGAGAGGCAACGCACCGAGGGAGAGAGGCAACGCACCGAGGGAGAGAGGCAACGCACCGAGGGAGAGAGGCAACGCACCGAGGGAGAGAGGCAACGCACCGAGGGAGAGAGGCAACGCACCGAGGGAGAGAGGCAACGCACCGAGGGAGAGAGGCAACGCACCGAGGGAGAGAGGCAACGCACCGAGGGAGAGAGGCAACGCACCGAGGGAGAGAGGCAACGCACCGAGGGAGAGAGGCAACGCACCGAGGGAGAGAGGCAACGCACCGAGGGAGAGAGGCAACGCACCGAGGGAGAGAGGCAACGCACCGAGGGAGAGAGGCAACGCACCGAGGGAGAGAGGCAACGCACCGAGGGAGAGAGGCAACGCACCGAGGGAGAGAGGCAACGCACCGAGGGAGAGAGGCAACGCACCGAGGGAGAGAGGCAACGCACCGAGGGAGAGAGGCAACGCACCGAGGGAGAGAGGCAACGCACCGAGGGAGAGAGGCAACGCACCGAGGGAGAGAGGCAACGCACCGAGGGAGAGAGGCAACGCACCGAGGGAGAGAGGCAACGCACCGAGGGAGAGAGGCAACGCACCGAGGGAGAGAGGCAACGCACCGAGGGAGAGAGGCAACGCACCGAGGGAGAGAGGCAACGCACCGAGGGAGAGAGGCAACGCACCGAGGGAGAGAGGCAACGCACCGAGGGAGAGAGGCAACGCACCGAGGGAGAGAGGCAACGCACCGAGGGAGAGAGGCAACGCACCGAGGGAGAGAGGCAACGCACCGAGGGAGAGAGGCAACGCACCGAGGGAGAGAGGCAACGCACCGAGGGAGAGAGGCAACGCACCGAGGGAGAGAGGCAACGCACCGAGGGAGAGAGGCAACGCACCGAGGGAGAGAGGCAACGCACCGAGGGAGAGAGGCAACGCACCGAGGGAGAGAGGCAACGCACCGAGGGAGAGAGGCAACGCACCGAGGGAGAGAGGCAACGCACCGAGGGAGAGAGGCAACGCACCGAGGGAGAGAGGCAACGCACCGAGGGAGAGAGGCAACGCACCGAGGGAGAGAGGCAACGCACCGAGGGAGAGAGGCAACGCACCGAGGGAGAGAGGCAACGCACCGAGGGAGAGAGGCAACGCACCGAGGGAGAGAGGCAACGCACCGAGGGAGAGAGGCAACGCACCGAGGGAGAGAGGCAACGCACCGAGGGAGAGAGGCAACGCACCGAGGGAGAGAGGCAACGCACCGAGGGAGAGAGGCAACGCACCGAGGGAGAGAGGCAACGCACCGAGGGAGAGAGGCAACGCACCGAGGAGAGAGGCAACGCACCGAGGGAGAGAGGCAACGCACCGAGGGAGAGAGGCAACGCACCGAGGGAGAGAGGCAACGCACCGAGGGAGAGAGGCAACGCACCGAGGGAGAGAGGTAGGCCGGATGAGGGTGATTTGGCGAACCCTGGATCCAACATCCGAGAACCGGGCTGCATGAGGGAGGGGATTGTGGGGGGAGGGAGTCAATGTGGAGATGGGATAGGATAGGAGGAAGATGAGATAGGGGACAGTGGATGAGGGTGATTTGCCGAACCCTGGATCTGACATCCGAGAACCGGGCTGCAGAGTGGAGTGGAGTGTAATGCTGTGGAGTGGAGTGGAGTGGAGAGGAGTGGAAAGGAGTTGAGAGGAGTGCAGCAGAGTGGAGTGGAGTGTAATGCTGTGCAGTGGACTCACCGAGATGAGAGCTGGTTTCCTGGGACTGGCCGCTCCATCCATCCCAGCGGCACCCAGCCCCGCTATCTTCAACCCATCACCCTCCCCACCAGCAGCATTTACAGCATTGGAGTGCGGTGGAGTGCGGTGCAGTGGGTGCAGTGGACTCACCGAGATGAGAGCTGGTTTCCTGGGACTGGCCGCTCCATCCATCCCAGCAGCACCCAGCCCCGCAAGCTTTACCCCATCACCCTCCCCACCACCACCAGCACCAGCAACACCACCACCGGCACCACTGTTGGCACCACCACCAGCCACACTAGCAGCAGCAGCAGCAGCACCAGCACCAGCACCAGCGCCACCAGCAGCAGCAGAACCAGCCTGAGCAGCAATCAGAGCCTCCTGCAGGCGTGCAGCTTCAGCAGAGAGCCGCGCAATCTCCTTATCCTTCCCCTCAATCGCCTTATCCTTGGCCTCTATAGTCTTGTCCGCCATCTCTCTGTACGCTGAATGCTCCCTCTCCCCGGACTCCACTCTTCTCCTCAACTCTGTCTCTAGAGTTGCTGTCTGGCTGTCCGTCTGCCCCTTTAGCTTCTCCTCCTGCTGCCGCAGCTTCTCTGCTCGGGGGAGGGAGAGAGGATGAGGGGGATTGGATCAGGGGGGTTATCAGCCCAGTTGTCCCCATCACGCGCTCATGCATCTATTGCTTAACAGTCACTGAATTCCTCCCCGCTCCTCTCAACTCTCCTCGCCACCCAGCTTCCCGGTCCATCATCCGCCCGTGCATCTCCTCCTGCTCTGCGCTGCTGTCTACCCACCCTGTGCTGTTCTATACTCTACCATCAATCCCCCAACTAGCCCCCCCTCCCTTGCCCCCTCTTATCAACTCACCGCGCCACCCGTCTTCCAGGTCCATCATCCGCCCGTGCATCTCCTCCTGCGCTGCCCGGCTCTGCTGCCTCACCGCCTCCAGCCTGCCCGTCAGCTCCCGTATCTTCGTTTCCGCTTCCATCAATGCCACGTTTCTGTGTAATACGGGTGAAGGGGAGGGAGGTGGTGGGAAGATTAGGGGGGGGTATGGGGGGTCAGTGGCACTGCTTATGTGACCGCTCTGCTGCCTCACCGCCTCCAGCCTGCCTGTTGGCTCTCGGATTTTCGATTCCGCATCCATCAGAGACACGTTATAAGGAACAGAAATAAGAGACGGAATACAGCTGCTAGAGCCCCGACCTTGCAGGCAAACCGCTTAGAAAAAATGAACTGTAAAAAACTGGATTTGAGACTCTGAAAATAAGACTGGTAGGCTTCGATTTGTACGTGAGTCGAGCCGAGGAGATAACGCAACCTCCGTACAAATCCGAACCCTAGCAGTCTCATCTTCACAATCTCAAATCCAGTTTCTTACAGCTTCAGCCAAGTTTCTGCCTGATAAGGTTGCAAGGGAACAAAAGGGAGGGAGGCTAGGAAAGGGTTGATGCAAGGCCTCTGCTGCCCCACTTCCTCCAGCCTGTCTGTCAGCTCTCCCAACCCATCCCATCCCATGCATGTCATCCCACCCCACCCCACCCCACCCCACCCCACTCCACCCCACCCCATCCCATCCCATCCCATCCCATCCCATCCCATCCCATCCCATCCCATCCCATCCCGTCCCTTCTATGTACACACATGCACAACACCTTTCTCTCACACAGCCCACTGCCACCACATGGATTGTGTCTTGTTTGTGCACGCTTCATTCACCGCACTGCCATCTGTGTCTCATGGTCCTATGTACACACATGCACACCACATTAGACCCATCTCCACCGCATCTCACCGCGCTGCCATCTGCGTCTCATGGTCCACAGCAGCATCCTCCAAAGCCTTAAGCGCTCTGTCCCTCTCCGCCACTGCTGCTGCCTCTGCCCGCTTCGCCTCCTGTGATGCGTGGACAGAGGCAGGTGGTGAAGGAGGCAGGAGACGGGAAAGGCAAACTATATGATAAACGTCCCGAATATATAGACCTAATGTGGATGCTAAGTACGGTATCTGCAAATCCAGGACGAACAGGTTATAAATGTAAAAACGCACATTAACGTAACCGTAAAAACGTATGCAAGCACAAACGTAGTATCCATCTAAACTCCACATTCATTCCCACATTCAGTCCCCCACACTCACTCCCACACCCACCTTGATCTCTTCTTCCTTGCTCGCCATGGCATCTGCGTTCCCCACCGCTTCAAGCCCCTCCTCCCACTTTCATCCCTCCCTCTCATGTCACGTCTCCCTCTCACCTTCATACCACACACTCACGTGGATTGCCTCTTCCTTGCTCGCCATAGCATCGGCGTTCCCCACCGCTTCAAGCTCCTCCTGCTTCTTCTTCAGCATCGCTGCTGCCCGCACCTTGTACGCCGCCAGCTCATTACGCCCCTTCGCCACCTGGCATGATGTGGCATGACGTGGCGAGAGGTGGTATGGGATGGACTTAAGAAACGCAATGTTGCAAAAGATAAACACCGTAAAAATAAACGCCATTCTGTTGCATGGAATGGCATGGCATGGCATAGGCAGGTAGGCATGAGTATGGCATGAGCTGGGATGGGAATGGCAGGAGCTGGGACAGGGATGGCATGAAAACGCTTGGGCTGGGATGGGAGGGCATGGGCTGGGAGGGCATGGGATAACACAACGCCCATTTACCTCCTGCATCTGATCGCCGCCCACAACCCCACCCACCCTCCCTCCTCACCCCTTTTCTGTCTCCAGCCTTCCTCACCTCCGCCTGTGCAGCCGCCAGGTCCGCCAAAGCAGCAGCAACGGCCTTCTTCTGCCCCTCCACCTCCTGCTGCCACGCCCCCTTCGCCTCCTGCAACGCCACCTCCTGCATCCCATGACCCAAGGCCCTGGCAATCCCACTATCCTCCTCCTTCCATGTTTTACCCCGGGGAACCCTGTCTCACCCCCTTCACCCTCCCTTGTTTCCATCTCTCTTACTCCCGCCTCGACTCACCTCTGCCTGTGCCGCAGCCAGGTCTGCCAATGCAGCAGCAACAGCTTTCTTCTGCCCCTCCACCTCCACCTGCCACGCCCCCTTGGCCTCCTGCAACGCCACCTCCTGCATGCGCTTCCCCCTCTCCATCCCCTCCACCCGCTGCCCCACCGTCCCCTCCCACCCGCTCCTCACAGTCTTCCCCCATTTCCTGCAAACCCCGAAAAGCAGCAGCCCCGTTTCCCTCTGACTGACCTGAACCCATCCCCAACCCCCCTTTCCCCCCCTTTCCCAACTCACCTCCGCCTGTGCAGCAGCTAAATCCGCCAGGGCGGCAGCAACGGCCTTCTTCTGCCCCTCCACCTCCTGCTGCCACGCCCCCTTCGCCTCCTGCAACGCCACCTCCTGCATGCGCTTCCCCCTCTCCATCCCCTCCACCCGCCTCTTCAGCTGCCCCACTGTCTCCTCCCACCCGCTCCTCTCCTCCTGCAGCTTCTGCTCCAGCCGGTGCAGCTCGCCACGTGTCGCCTCCAGAGTGGCCGACAGCCGCGCCAGCTCGCCTGACGTAGCCGCCTCTACTTCCGCCAGCTGGCGCTCCTTCTGCGACAGCTGGACCTGCCCGGGTGGATAACGGCGGTGAGGGTGGTAACAGGGGAGAGGAACGAGAAAGGTACACATGTGGTTACTGCCACAACCTGTAACACCACTGCTCTCACCTGTTTCACACACTCCTCCCCACTCTCACCTGCTGTTGCAGATCTCAGTCCCTACAGGTGGTTACCCTGGCCTGTGACACGTCCTTAACACCCTCAGTTCTCCCTCTCCTGTAACCTGCAGCGCACTGCTGCCCTTCAGAGCCATATTCTGCTCCCTCTGAGGTGACTTTTGAGTCGACTCAAAAGTCACTTTGTCCTTAACACGCTCAGTTCTCTCACCTGCAGAGCACTGCTGCCCTTCAGAGCCTTATTCTGCTCCCTCTGAGGTGACTTTTGAGTCGACTCAAAAGTCACTTTGTCCTTAACACGCTCAGTTCTCTCACCTGCAGAGCACTGCTGCCCTTCAGAGCCTTATTCAGCTCTCTCTGCAGCTCAGCCGCGCGCACCTCCTGCTCCTTTCATTCCCTGACCGACCCTGACCCATCTGCAGCAGAATCTTGCTCCTACCACACAAACACCCCACTCTCACCTGCAGCGCACAGCTGCTCTCTAGAGCCTTATTCAGCTCCCTCCCGCTGCAGCTCAGCCGCCCGCGCCTCCTGCTGCTTCCAGTCCCCGATCCATGTGCAGCAGAACCTTCTTCCTACCATACAAACTCCTCCCTCTCACTTCCAGCAGCAGGGAGCACTCACCTGCAGCGCACTGCTGCTCTCCAGTGCCTTGTTCAACTCCCTCTGCAGCTCAGCCGCCCGCGCCTCCTGCTCCTTCCCCATCCGCTCCATCCGCTCCTCCACCTCCTTCACAGCCCCCGCCATGCGCTCCCGCTCCTCCTGCGCTGAGCTCGACAGCTCCAGCCACGCCTGCTCCTTGCCCGCTGCCAGCCTCCGCGACTCCTTCAGGTTATGCTCCTTCAGTTCCAAGGCCCGCCTCAGCTCGTCCACTTCTTCTTTGAGCCTGGGGAAGGGAGAGTAGGGTTCACGGTTCAAGGTTCAACGCTCCTCCTGCGCTGAGCTCGACAGCTCCAGCCACGCCTGCTCCTTGCCCGCTGCCAGCCTCCGCGATTCTTTTAAATTGTGCTCCTTCAGTTCCAAGGCTCGCCTCAGCTCGTCCACCTCCTCCTTCAGCCTGGGGAAGGGATCGGGGTTTCGGGTTTAGGGGTTTAGAAAACGGGCGGGAGAGGACAGCTCGACAGCTCCAGCCACGCCTGCTCCTTGCCTGCTGCCAGCCGCCGTCACTCCTTCAGGTTATGCTCCTTCAGTTCCAGGGCTCGCTTCAGCTCGTCAACTTTCTCTTAAAGCCGGGGATCAAGCCTGGGTCTAATTGCTCTCCAAGCCTGAGAAACCCTTCCAGCCACATGACTAGAGATCAACAGAGATACTCACGACGCGTTGGTCTTCCTCAGCTGATCCTTGTCCTTCTCAGCCGTCCGCTGCGCCTCTGCAGCCCTTAGAATACTACAAAGGACCAGAGAAACCCTTCCAGCTATGTGGAAGAGAGCAGCAGAGATACTCACGACGCGTTGGTCTTCCTCAGCTGATCCTTGTCCTTCTCGGCCGTCCGCTGCGCCTCTGCAGCCACCCCCTTGGCTCTCTCCAGATCCTCCTGCAGCGCCGCCTGTTGCTTCCTTTCCTCTGCCAGCTTCCTCTCTGCCTCCTCCTTCTCCTGCAAGGTGTGGCAGACAGGGGATTGGGTGGAAAACAGGGAACGGGTTGGGGTCAAGGTGATGAAAGGGCCCCTCTGCAGCCACCCCCTTGGCTCTCTCCAGATCCTCCTGCAGAGCTGCCTGCTGCTTCCTCTCTTCTGCCAGCTTCCTCTCTGCCTCCTCCTTCTCCTGCAAGGAGGAGGGGAGACCGAGGTGCATGGAGAAAAGGGAACGGGATGGGAAGAAGGAGATGGGAGGTTTCAGAGGCAACTCTGCCCCTGCCCCTTACCCTGCCGCCTTGCCTAGGTATCAGGCTTACTCAATTCACACATCCTACTGCCTCAAACCCTGGTGCGTCACATCACATCACATCACATCACATCTGTGCGTTCCATACCTTGGTCACTTCCTGGATTCTCTGCTTGGCGCGCTTCTGCAGGCGGTTGAACTTCCTTTCCAGCTCCGCATACTTGTCCTTTCCCACCTATATCCTCAGATATTCCATACCCTGGTGATCCATACATACCTTGGTCACTTCCTGGATTCTCTGCTTGGCGCGCTTCTGCAGGCGGTTGAACTTGCTGTCCAGCTCCGCATACTTGTCCTCCGCTGCCTTCACCTCTGCCTCCAGCTTGCTGCGCACTGCACCGCACCACACCGCACCACACCACACAGCACCACACCGAATGGTACACAGAACACATCACACCATGAGAAGCGAGTCAGAAGGGAAGAGCCAGTACTGACGCTTGTGGCATGACACTTTTGGCCAAGCACAGGCAATAAACACCGGATGTGCAAACCAGATGATCGAGACAGTAAGAGAAGGAGACGGAGCATTAAAGGAACTGGCATGATATGATACTGATAAAGCAGCAGGTGTGATTATGATGAGCGTGTTTTTACCTCTCACCAGCTTTTGAAATTTCTCACAAGTGGACAAACCCTTCTTACCTGTCGCCAGCTCACTCTCTGCTGACTCAGCCTTCCCCATCGCCTCCCCTGCAGCGCCCGCCACTCTGGCAGCCGCCTCCTCCGCCGCCACACGGGCAGCTGCAGCCTGCGCCAGCTCACCCGACACCCGCGCCAGCTCAGCGTTTGCCGTCGCCAGCTCAGCATTCACCTTCGCCAGCTCCTCAGCCTGCGCACCGCCCGACATTGCCAGCTGTTCCCTCCCCCTCTCCGCCTCCTCCCTCATCCTCCCTGCCTCTAGCTCTGCTGCTTCTACCCTTGCTCTCACCCCTTCCAACTCAGCAGTAAGCTCAGTTACTCTCTTCTCCCCATCCGCCCTCTCTGCGCCCTCCTTTACGCTCTTCTCCCTCATCCCCTGCAGCTCTGCTTTGATCTCTGCCTGTACCTGCTCGCTCTTCCTCTCCGCTTCCCTCACCTTCCCCAACGCCTCCTCCAACTCCTCCTCCAACCGCTCCTTCTCCCTCTTCACCGCTTTCAACGCCTCTTCCAGCTCTCCCACTCGGGCCTCTCCTGCCACAGCCCCTGCTGCCGCTGCTCCTGCCGCCTCTGCCCCTGCTGCTGCGGCTTCAGCCTTAGCAGCAGCTAACTCCGCCTCTGCTGCTTCCAGTTTCTTCCTCAACTCAGCCTCTCGCCCCTCCCACTCTCCCTCGTTCACCTCCAATTCTTTCACCCTCTCCTCTGCTGTCTTAAGCGCGCCTCTCGCCTCCTCCACTTCAACCACACCCTTTTCCACCTCCCCTTTCGCTCTCTCTTCCTCCTCTTTCACCCTCTCGAGTTCCACTTTAACACTCTCTGCCTCCCCTTGTGCTTTCTCTGCTTCCCCTTTAACCCTCTCCAACTCCTCTTTACCGCTCTCCACCTCCGCTTTCGCCTTCTCAAGCTCCCCTTGAAGCTCCGCCACCCGGCCCTCTAACGCCTTCCTGTCTTCGCCCATCTTAGCAGCCTCCGCCTCTCCTGATCCCTTCTCTGCTACCGCTTGCTCCAGCTTCTCCTTTAGCCCCTGAATCTCCTCCTCCTTGGCTTTAATCTCCGCCTCCTTCGTCCCTACAACGACATACATCTCCTTCTTTAGCTCCTCAGCCACTTTCCTTACCTTTTCACCCTCCTCCTTCGCCTCCTCAGCTGCCTTCAACGCAGCTTCCAACTCCCTCCTCAGCCCACCCACCTCCTCATCCTTTGCAGCAACGTCCTCCCCCAACTCCTTCACCCTCCCCTCCACCTCCCCTAACCTCCCCCTCACTCCCTCCAGTTCCCCCCTCACAGCCTCCCCTTCCTTCTCCTTCTCCTCAACCGCCCTCTCCAACCCCTCAACCCTCTTCCTCAATCCCTCCGCCTCTTTCTCGCTCCCATCAGCCCTATCCGTCTCTGCTGCAACCTGCTTCCGCGTGTCTAGAAGCTGCTGCCACAGCTCCCCAGCTTGCTGCTGCTCCTTCCCGGCACTTTCCTGGAAAGAGTCCAACGCCGCTCGAGCCTCCTCTGCTTCTCTCTGCGCTGCCTCTCTCGAATGAATCTCCTTTTCCAGCGAGGATTTGGCTGATGCCAGCTCAGCCTGCGCGGCTGCCAGCTGGTCTTTGAGGGAATCTGACTTGGCGGCGAGATCTGCCAGCTCTTTCTGGATGCTCTGGTTTGGTTGAAAGGGATTGATCCGATAAAGAGCATTCAATTGTGATATTATGGAAGGGACGTAAAAGTGTTTGTTTGAATGTGCTTGAGTTTGGATAACAGGCATGCAATGCAATGAAGGCACAGCAGCTTGGGGAGATCCAGCTGGGCGCATGCCCACGATGCTGCAGAGTTTTTTTGAGAATTCTCAAAAAAACCCTGCAGCTGGGCGCATGCCCACACCACACCTCTCACGTACCTCTCTGTCTCCGATGCAGCCTTCTGCACATGATCCACGGCCCCTTGCATGCCCCTCTATTTCTGAGGCGCCTCAATAAATTACTAATACCAGTGAACCTATGACTCATGCCCACACCACACCTCTCACGTACCTCCTCTGTCTCCGATGCAGCCTTCTGCACGTGATCCATGGCCCCTCGCATGCCCGTCAGCTCTTGAGGTATCTCGCATGCCCTCGCATACCTCTTCTTACTCATGCCCACACCTCACTTACCTCCTCTGTCTCCGAAGCAGCCTTCTGCACGTGATCCATGGCCCCTCGCATGCCCTTCAGCTGTGAGGTAAGGCTGCCGCAGCAAAGACACGCATGATACAGCGGAAGAGAGGGAGCAAAAAAGGCGTGTTACAATGAAACATCGATGATCATCCATTACGCATCAACAGTCTCGCTCACCATAAGATCAGACACTCAGAAGCCCACGAGGCGAGTTCTGAGACGTTAAAACTCAATTATCATTAGGGATGGTTGGTTAATAAAAGTTTTACCTGGCATTGAGACGTTTGAAAGTCTAGCACTGAGCTGTGAGGTCTCTGGAGCCCTAGTCAACTTTGCTTTTGCTTTTTTAACTTCGTTACTAGCAACCCACCTGGCAACTTCTTTCTTCGCTTCTGCCAGCTGCGCTTGAAGAGCCGCCTCTGCATCTGCTGCCGCCGCAGCTGCTTTAGCTGCTGCGGCCTTCGCCTCTTCCACCTGCCCTGTCAGCGCCGCCTGCGCCTGAAGCAGCTCCTCTGCCTGCGCGCCCTTGTTCGTTGCCTCACATCGCATTTTACCCAGTTCTTCCTGCGCCTCTGCTGCCGCCGCCTTGGCCTTCTCAATTTCCCCCTGAAGGGCCGCCTGCGCCTGAAGCAGCTCCTCCACCTGCGCGCCCTTGTTCGTCGCCTCGCATCGCACCTTCCCCAGTTCTTCCTGCGCCTCTGCTGCCGCTGCCTTGGCCTTCTCAATCTCCCCCTGAAGCGCCGCCTGCGCCTGAAGCAGCTCCTCTACCTGCGCGCCCTTGTTCGTCGCCTCGCACTGAGCCTTTCCAACCTCCTCCCGCGCTTCTGCTGCCTCCGTCTTGGCCTTCTCAATATCCCCCTGAAGCGCCGCCTGCGCCTGAAGCAACTCCTCTACCTGCGCGCCCTTGTTCGTCGCCTCACACTGAGCCTTTCCAGCCTCCTCCTTCGCCTTCTCCAGCTCCGCTTTGACTTCCCCCAGCTCCTTCCTGGAAGTTTCGACTTGCGCACGCAGCTCTTCCAGCGAAGCTTCCTTGCCGTGTCTCAAACCCTCGAGCTCATCCCTTAGCGCTTTAATCTCCGATTCCAACTTCTCCTTATCCCCCCTCAGCACTTCCCTCTCTTGCTCCACCGCAGGAAGCTTCCTCTGCAATTCCGCCACCAGCGCCTGCAGCTTGCTCCCATCTTCCTTCGAAGCTTCCAGCTCCACCTGAATTGCTTTCAGCTGCCCGGCCATCTTTTCCCCGTCTGCCCGAGAACCCTCCAGCTCTCTCCGCGCAGCGTTTAGCGCCTCCATCGCGCTCTCCCGCTCCGCCTGCGCGGCTTTCAGCTGCTGCTCCGCGCGCACCACCACCTCCTGCGCGCGCCGCTGATCCGCCTGATCGCTCCGCTTCTCCGCCTCTGCCGCCTTCACCCGCTCCCCCAGCGCCTGCAGCGCCTGCTGCGCCGCCGCGCGCCCTTCCTGCGCCTCCCGCGCCTCCCCCTGCGCTTTCCGCAGCTGCTCCTGCAGACCGCTAAGCTCCTCCTGAGTTGTCATCAGCGCGCCTTGCGCCGCCGTCCATTGCTCGCGGACCATCTGGACCTCCTCTTTCGACGCGCGAAGGCTCTTCTGAGCCGCATTTGCGTCATCCATGGCTTTCTTTCTCTCCTCCTCCGCTGATCTGGCCTGGTCTTCAGCAGCCTTGAGCTTCTCGCTCGCAACCACGTACTCTTCTCTTAGCATTTTCAGTTCCTGCTGAGACGCATTCAGTTGGTCCTGCAGCTGCTGCAGCGCCGCCGGATCCGCTCCTTTAGATGCATCTCCGTTAGAAGCTCCTGATTCCGCGGCTTCGGCTCGCTTTAAAGCCTCGTCCCGGACTCGTTCGGCCTCTTGGACTTTAGATTGAAGCTCCGCCTGCTGCTTTTTGAGAGCTAAAACAATCTTCTTTTTCATGGACTGCATCTCCGCTTGAAGGCGGGTGTTTTCCGCCTTTAGTTCCTCCGCGGACGCCATTATGGATCGATCGCCAATCGAAGGAAAGACCTTATTTTGTGCGCCAAACCTTAGAAATAGTAACTAGAAACGGTCGATTCCTCAGCTAATGCGATCTCCTGTTTGGACTCGGGAGGCTTGCTTAACAACTACAGGAAGAAGGAAAACCAGCGAGTTAGTTTGGCATTACCATGAACAAAGCAGATCTCTAGTGAGACCACGACTACCCGCAGAGATCTTCTCGGCTGCTCGCAAAATGCTCAGGAGCCATGGCTTCAGGCCAGAGCCTGCCTGGAGGAGGAATTGATTAGTCTGGAAGAGTGAACCAGATTGAAGTTGAGCATTTTGGGATCTATGGGTGTCAGAACGGGCTGTAATACGGTTTCCAAAGCTTTTAAAGGTTTTCAAAACAGCACGATTCGGTGCCAAAGTGTCACGAAACGTTTCCATGCTCTTCCGGTATACCTACCACGTAAGCTACAGCAAGAGGTTCCTCGCTCGTTGCCACTCTAGACCGTAACGCAACGATTTAAACCGTGGTTAGATTGAGAATCAAGCAGAGTGGACGTTGTTTGTTCCCCGTCACACCGACCTTCTAGAGAGTCCTCCACTTCAGTCATACACGTGCTACTGTTTGCGAGGAACTCTAGGGATGTGCCGACCGAGGCAACACTAGCCGCACATCGTCGGAAGCTGAAACCACGAGCGATCTTAACCGTCGAAAAATGTTCGCTGTGGTGTTCGCCTGACCAGTTTCGTTCGGCCCTCGCTGTCGCTCTCGGTTTGTGTTGTCAGGGAGGCTGTGATTGGCTGATACAGCATTACAAAATGTTTCGCGGGTTTTTTCCTTACGTTGACAATAACGGGTCAATCTGGCGCATGAGATACCTCAACTATCACTGTACTATCATTTACCTTACAGCACAGAGGGAATGTTGTTAGAGGGGTATTCCTCTCCCTACCACAGTCCCAACCACAGTCCAAGCCGCGGGCATATGGCTTGGGTATGGGACGAACCAGTCTCTCGAGACAGATTCACCCGCCGCCTTGTCCCTGCGCCGCGTCAGGGCTGGCGGGGACCTTGGGATTGGGTTTCATGGATGATATTCGCGGCTCGGCCCGTCAAGATTGGAGGGATTTCGCTCACTCAAACGCGGACACGTCAGCGCAGCCAAGCACCCCAAACCAAGGGAACATCCATCTCCAGTTGTGTTGTCTCCACTGTCCACCATTCAGCTGTTCACCCCCCTTCCCCCTCTCATCCATTTCGCCGGCCTATCAGGGATGGCAAGAAGAAAGAATTTGTCCTGCTGTTGTGCATTCCATCCACCATCCTCACTTCATTCAAACATTGATGCTTGTTTTGCGTGTAGGCAAGACAACAAGAAACCTCGGCCGCTATCTTCGCTGAGGGCTATCAATAAGACGTCAGTCATTGATGCTTATTCTAAACGTTCGCCTTTCGTGACTCCCACTCCTCTTCAGCTTCCAGAATGCACGTTAACAGAGTTGGTTTTTTGTCCGTGAGATGTGCTACTTCTCGACAAAATCACTCGAAGTATCTGATGGTTACTTAAGAGGTTAATAGAACCTCGTTACATTCATAGTGATAGTCTGCTTTCGAGCCGCCTGCCCTCTAATCCATTCTTCCGCTCCCATACGACTCGCATCGCATCGCTTTTAGCCGCTCGCTTAGACTACTTTCGCGTTTTCGATGCGTTCAATGCTGCCGCTCCCGTCTTCGCTCCCAGCGACGTAACTTATTTCCCGTTCAGCAATCCGGCCGCATAATAATATATCAGGCGCCTGTGACGTATGCCTTCACGACTTGCGCTGCAATACAGCCGCAAGTGACTAGAAGTTTCCCGCTTGGAGAAATAGACATTGTTTTAGAGGAAGCTTTTTTCTAGACTTCTGAACGATTTGCTCGGCAGTGCGCGGCTCCAAGGCACGGAAAACCTTGTTCGGAGGAGCAGTCAGTCGGCCTAACCGAGCTGGCTGCTCTCTTCCCGTTATCTCCGTGGGAAGCACTGAAATTTCCCTTTAACTTCATTGAAGGACAATGGTCGCAATCAATGGGGCCGACTCCCCGTCGCCTTCCCCCGACGCGACCGTGCTGCAAGTGTCAGTGGTTCAGGGCCGGAACTTGCAGCTTCCAGGCGGCGTGCAGGACAAAGGCGGAGCCACGGTGTCGCTCTCTCAGGGAAAAAACCAGGTACTTTGTTCCCGCCAATTAATTAGCTTTGCTTCCGAACCATGTAGAGCATGGCACATTGCCCGAGTCAGTCATAATTTGTGAGATAAATAATAAGGTAAGAAATATTTTTAGTACCAGTCGCGTGGCCTCGCACGATGTAGCACCATGATGGATATTCACACAACCACAATTCCTCGTACCGGGAACAGTCAAACATCGCGCAAATTTTATTTATCTGTTCCATCGGTTGCTCTTATTGAAACGACCAATGCTGTGCGTCTGAGACGGAGTGGCTAAAATCAGAATTCTCTCGCGTCTTTTCAAAGTAGACCTTAGGATGCAGACCCATGTCTCGAGCGGTCCTTTGGCGTGCAAACTTCATATTTCTTTCGCGTCTTTTCGACGTAGTTGCAATGATACATTCACATGCTTGGCTCGGCTAGCTCGAGATATGGGTCTCCCTCCTATTGCGCACGGTTGACACAGGTGAAGACATCTGCGAAGATTCTTGACTCCGTTTAAAAACGCCCTCAATCGCTCCGTTCTAAAATGCACCTGATGCAGGTGAAGACAGCAGCGAAGACGGGAGCGGCTCCCAAGTGGCTCCAGGACTTTAAGATTCCTCTGGACTACTCGCCTGGTGCTTCCCTGCCGCAGCCAGGCGACGTCGTTCTCCAGGTCAGATCCGTTCTCTGTCTCATATCTCAACTGTGTGACCTGTGCGTCATAATGACTTCTCCTTGGACTGGGAAGTCATGTCTCAACCTTGTGTCCTTTGCGTCATATTGACTTATGCTTGGACTGGGAATTCATATCTCAACCTTGTTCTGTGTTGTGCCTTCAGGGTAAATTACCCAGGAAAGGTGATTCTGGGTTTAGCTCGCGGGACAGTTCGAGGAGGTGCTGGCCAGGTGTGATTTGATGCGCTTCACAAACCAAGTGATAAAAGTGTAGTTTTGAAACGTCTCAAAACAACGAGGTGACTTTTGAGTCGTCCCAAAAGTCACCTTGAGACGTCTCAAAACTACACTTTTATCACGTAGCTAGCTCGCTAGACAGTTTGAGGAGTTGCTGGCCAGGTGTGATTTGATGCGCTTAACAAATCGAGCTTTTCTGCTGGCACTTCATGAAAGAATCTCTGCGCCCTCTCCCCCTCCCCCTCCCTCTCCCTCTCCCACGCACAAAGATAGCAATCAGCTCACCTCACACGGGAGACGAGGCGCTGGCCAGGTGTAATCTGAGGCGCTTCAGAAACCAAGCTTCTCAGCTCCCCTCTCCCGCTCCTCTTGCTCTCCCGACCACACACACAGATAGCAATTACCTCACCTGACACGGGAGACGAAGTGCTGGCCACGTGTGATGTTGACGTGGCAGATCAGCTGCAGGGCGGCACAGTGGTGCGCTGGTATCAAATCAAGGACAAGGACGGCGCTGGGGTCGGCGAAGTTTGTCTTGTTCTGCGGATTGCGAAGCCTGCCGCCTTGCGTCCAGGTGGGTTAGGGCGAGGGTGCTATTTTTTTTTGCTCCCGATTCTTGGACTGTTGGCACCTGCATAAACCTCCCTCCAATGCTCCCGATTGTTCCTGACAGGTGGTGCTTCCCCCAGCCACCCCAAGAGCAGCGTCGCCAGTCAACTGAACAGAAACCATTCTGCAGCGGTCATTGACCAAACCACCCAAACCACTCAAACCACCGAAACCATCCAAACCACGCAAACCAGCAAAACCATTCAGACCAACCAGTCCACCCAAACCACCGAAACCACCGAAACCAGTGCTGGTGCTAACATCACCGGTACTGCTGCTGCCGCTGCTGCTGCTCCATCCGCCTTTGCAGCTGCTTTCGACGTCTTTGCAGCCCATGCCTCCACTGCTGCTTCAGATGATGGTGATGATACAGCTGCAGTTGCCACGGCTGCTGCCGACAGCGCCGATGATCCTGCTCCAGGAGCAGAAGACGCAGCAGCAACCAATTCTGAGCCTGTGCCTGAAGTCCAAATTCCAGCAGAAGCAGCACCAGCTGCTGCATCACCAGCTGCAACAGCAGCAGCAGACGCACCGCTGGCAGCAGCAGCAGGAGACACAGCAGCAGACACACCAGTAGCAGGCGTACCAGAAGACGCACCAGAAGATGCAGCACCACCAGCAGTTGCTGCTACAGGCGCGAGCACGGGCTCATCATTACTGGGCCGGCTGGAGAGGCGCAGCAACGTCCAGATCAGCAGGGGGACCGGGCTGGGCACGTCTGAATCCGGGCCTGAGAGCAGCACAGACGAGGCTGAGGGTGCAGCGTCTGTGTCTGATCCCAACTCGCCTCGTAGTGAGACGTCCCTAGCAGTGTCCAGTGAGGGGGGTACGGCTGTTGTGGGGCGTCTGGAGAGGCGCAGCAACATCCAGAGCGGGAGACTCTCGGCACAGAGCTCTGCTGAAGGCACAGGGGAATCCTCAGGTGATTCCTCAGGTGCTGTCGCAGCAGCAGGAGCAGACTCACCTGGTGCTGCTTCTGGTGATGGGTCACCGTCAACCTCCCAACAACAGCAGTCCTCCTGGTCGGGAGCTTGGCGGTGGGGAGACCGACAAAACAAGGGCAGCAGCTCAGACAAGGCAATGGGGTCCTCTGCGGGCTCTTTGTTCCAAGGCAGGGCGCTGAATAGCTCTGCCCGGCGGGCTGACGAGGCTGCGAGTCCAAAGGCGCGCAGCAAGGGGGGGAGCGTTGATTTTCTGGGTAGTTGGGGACTTACTGGTATCGGGTCGAGTGGGAGTGCTAGCAGCAGGAGTGTTGGTGGTGCGGATGAAAGCAGTAGCATCAGCGCCATTAGCAGCGGTGGGAGCAGTGCTGAGATTGAGGACTGGGTGCCGCCGAAGCAGTTTCGTAAGGTTATGTCGATCAAAATGGTGAAGAAAGATTTGCTTCGGCAAGCGGGGAGCAGCCGGGCAGTAGTGACGAGGCTCAGCGGGGGGGTTGGAGGCGGTATTGGGGAGTTCAGAGCGACAGGAGGGAGGGAGCTGAAACGAACAGAGGTTATGCATGTGAAAGGGGGATCTGCAAGGGACGCAGGAGGGGAAGGAGCGGGGGCCATCGTTCAACCAGAAGGCGTTGGGTTTGGGGGATCAGCAAGGGTGGCAGGAGAGGGGCTTGGGGGGATAGCTAGGTCGGCAGAGGAGCGAATCGGGGGATCAGCTAGGGAGGCAGGAGAGACAGCAGCGGGCAGACTGCTTGGATCAAGCAGCCTGCCAGGGCAAGGGCAGAGCAAAGGGGAAGAACAGAGGCAGGGGTTAGAGAGCCCGAGCGGTCAACGCAGCCCTACAGTGGCTCCTATGAAGCCTGTTGTGCAGAGGAAGAAAATCAGCTTCTATCTGTCGCCTGTGATAGAGCCAAACGGTCCGGAAGAGGGTTCGACTAGCTCTGGGCTGGATCTGGGGGGAGGAGCAGCAGAGGCAGCAGCAGCGGCAGAGGCAGCAGCAGCGGCTGAGGCATCAGCAAAGGCAGAGGCAGCAGCAGCAGCAGAGGCAGCAGCGAAAGCAGAGGCAGAAGCAGCCGCTGAGGCAGCAGCAAAGGCAGAGGCAGAAGCAGCAGTTGAGGCAGCAGCAAAAGCAGAGGCAGCAGCAGATGCAGAAGCTGCAGGAGTAGTGGCGGCGGCAGCGGCAGAAGCAGCAGCAGAAGAGGCCACAGCAGTTGCCGAAGCAGCGGTGGCAATACAGGCCAAAGCAACAGCAGTGGCTGCAGCAGCGGCACAGGCAGCAGCAGCAGCTGAAGAAGCAGCAGCAGCAGAGGATGCAGCAAGATCAGTGGCTGCAGAAGCAGACGTATCAGCAGCGGCAGAGGCAACAGCAGCGGCCGAGGCAGCAGCAGCAGCAACACAGGTTGCAGCGGTAGCAGAGGCTGCCGCAGCAGCAGATGCAACAGTAAAGGCAGAAGCTGCAGCAAAAGCAGAAGCTGCGGAAGCAGAGGCAGCAGCAGCAGAAGAGGCAGTAGAAGCTGCAGCAGCGGCCGAGGCAGCAGCAGCAGTGGAAGCAGCAGCAGTGATACATGCTGTAGCATCTGCTGAGGCTGCAGCAGCGGCAGAAGCAGCAGCAGCAGCGGAGGCAGCAGAGGCAGCAGTAGCAGCAGAGGCTGGAGCAGCAGCGAAGACAACAGCAGAAGCTGACGAAGCAGTAGCCTCAGAAGCTGCAGCAAAATCAGAAGCTGCCAGTACAGAGGCCGCAGCAGCGACAGAGGCAGCAGAAACGGTGGCAGCAGCAGAGGCAGAAGCAGCTTCAGTTGCAGCAGAGGCTGCAGCAGAAGCAGAGGCAGCAGCAGAAGCACAAGCAGCAGTAGCAGCAGAGGCTGCAGCGGCGGCAGAGGCAGCAGAGGCAACGGCAGCAGCAGCAACAACAGAGGCCGCAGCAGCAACAGCAGCAGCAGCAGAGGCAACAGCAGCGGCAGAGGCGGCAGCATCAGCAGAGGCCGCCACAGCAGCAGAGGCAGCAGCTGAAGCAGCGGCGGCTGCGGCAGCATTGGAAGCAGCAACAAATGCAGAAGCTGCTGCAGCAGCAGAAGCAGAGGCAGCAGCAGCAGCAGCAGAAGCTGCCGCAACAGCGTTGGCAGAAGCAGAAGCAGCAGCTGCAACAGAGGCAAAGGCGGCAGCAGAGGCAGCAGAGGCAGCAGCAGCAGCACAAGCTGAAGCTGCATCAGCTGCAGAAAACGCTGCAACTGCAGAGGCAGCAGCGGTTGCAAAGGCAAATGAGACCGCAGCAGAGGCCACAGCAGCAGCACTGGCTGCAGCAGCAGCAATAACAGTGGCAACTGCGGCGGCAAAGGCATCAGAATCTGCAGCAGTGGCAGAGGCAGCAGCAGAGACGGTGGCAGCCGAGGCAGCAGTAGCAGCAGAGGCTGCGGAAGAAGCAGAAGTTGCAGCAGCAGCAGAAGCAAAGGAAGCAGCAGTGGCAGCAGAGGCAGCAGAAGCAGCAGTAGCAGCAGCGGCTGCGGCAGAGGCAACCGCAGCAGCAGCAGAGGCTGCAGCTAATGTAGAGGTAGAAGAATCAGAGGAGGCGGCAGGGGCAGCAGAGGTTGCAGCAGCAGCAGAAGCAGAGACAGCAGCGGCGGCAGAGGCAGGAATGGTTGCTGCAGCAGCAGTGGCAGAGGCAGAAGAGGCAGTGGCAGCAGCAGCCGCAGATGCAGCATTAGCGGCAGAAGGAGAGGCAGTAATAAAAGCAGGGGTAGCAGCAGCAGCTGCAGCGGAGGCTGCAACAGAGTTAGAAGCTGCAACAGCAGCGGAAGTAGAGGCAGCAGCAGCTACGGGGGCAGCTGCAGAAGCAAGGATTGCGGCTGAAGCAGAGGCAGCAGCGGCTATAAATGCAGAAGCAAAAGCAAGGGAGGTGGCAGAAGAAGAGGCAGTAGCAGCAGAGGCTGCAAGAACAGCAGAAACTGCAGCAGACGCAGCAGCAGCACCATTGGCAGAAACGGCAGAAGCTGCAGACGAATCGGAGGCAGCAGCAGCAGCAGCAAAAGCAGCAGCGGCGGCACTGGCGGCAGCAGCTGCAGAGGCTGCTAAAGAAGCAGAGGCAGCAGAAGCAGCAGCAGCAGAGGCTGAAGGAGCAGCAGAGATTGCAACTGAAGCATTGGCAGCAGCAACTACAGAGGCTGCGCAGGCAACAGCGGCAGCAGCAGCGGCAGAGGCAATGGCAGCAGCAGCACTAGCTGCAGCTGAAGCAGATGCTGCAGAAGCAGAGGTAGCAGCAATATTAGCAGAAGCTGCAGGAGCAACAGATGCTGCAGCAGCAGCAGAAGCCGAGGCAGCAGCAAAGGCAAAGGCTGCTGCAGCAGCAGAGGCAGCAGCGGAGGTTGCAGCAGCAGCAGAGGCTGCTTCAGTAGCACAGGCTGCTGCAGCAGCGGCAGAGGCAGCAGTAGCAGCAGAGGCGGCTGCTGCAGCAGAGGCTGTAGCAGCAGCAAAGGCAGCAGCAGCAGAAACCTCTGCTATCGCTGAAAACACTAGTGCTGTTGTAGGTATTTCCACTGCCACTGCCATTGCAGGCGCTGCCACTGTTGCTGCCACTGATGCTGCCACTGATGCTGGCACTGGTAGCACCATCATCAACGCAGAAACTTCAGCAGCAGAAACCGCTGCTGCTGCTGAAAGCACCACTGCTGTTGGTGGTAGTTTCACTGCCACTGCTGGTGCTGCCACTACTGGTGCTGCCACTGCTGGTGCTGCCACTGCTGGTGCTGCCATTGCAGGTGCTGCCATTGCAGGTGCTGCCACTGATGCTGCCACTGCTAGCACCTTCATCACAACAGAAACGTCAGCAGTAGATATCACTGCTACCGTTACAAGCACCACTGCTGCTGCTGCTAGTTCCACTGCCACTGCTGGTGGTGCTAGTTCCACTGCCACTGCTGGTGGTGCTAGTTCCATTGCCACTGCTGGTGCTGCCACTGATGCTGGCATTGCTAGCACCATCATCACCACAGAAGCTTCAGCAGCAGGACTCCCTGCTACCATTGAAAGCATCACTGCTGGTGGTGCTAGTTCCACTGCCACTGCTGGTGCTGCCACTGATGCTGGCATTGCTAGCACCATCATCACCACAGAAGCTTCAGCAGCAGGACTCCCTGCTACCATTGAAAGCATCACTGCTGGTGGTGCTAGTTCCACTGCCACTGCTGGTGCTGCCACTGATGCTGGTATTGCTAGCACCATCATCACCACAGAAGCTTCAGCAGCAGGACTCCCTGCTACCATTGAAAGCATCACTGCTGGTGGTGCTATTTCCACTGCCACCACTATTGCTGCCACTGATGCTGGCATTGCTAGCACCATCATCACCACAGAAGCTTCAGCAGCAGAATCCGCTGCTGCTGTTGGAAGCACCACTGCTGTTGGTGGTAGTTCCACTGCCACTGCTGGTGCTGCCACTGCTGGTGCTGCCACTGCTGGCGCTGCCATTGCAGGTGCTGCCATTGCAGGTGCTGCCACTGATGCTGCCACTGCTAGCACCTTCATCACAACAAAAACGTCAGCAGTAGAGATTGCTGCCACTGTTGAAAGCACCACTGCTGGTGCTGCTATTTCCTCCGCCACTGCTGGTGCTGCCACTGATGCTGCCACTAATAGCACCGTTATCACCACAGAAACTTCAGCAGAAGAAACCGCGGTTACTGCTGAAAATGCCACTGCTGGTGGCAGATCCAATGCCAATGTCACTTCAGGTGCTGCCACTGGTAGCACCATCATCACCACAGAAACTTCAGCAGCAGAAACCGCTGCTGCTGTTGGAAGCACCACTGCTGTTGGTGGTAGTTCCAATGCCACGTCTGGTCTTGCCACTGCTGGTGCTGCCACTGCTGGTGCTGCCACTGCTGGTGCAGCCACTGCTAGCACCATGGTCACCACGGAAACTTTAGCAGTGGAAACCACTACAATTGCTAAATGCGCCACTGCTGCTGGTGGTAGTTCCAATGCTGCTGCCGCTGCTCCTGCTGCTGCGGCTGCTGCTGCTGCTGCTGCTGCTGTTGCTGCTGTTGCTGCTGCTGCTGCTGAAAACACCACTTCTGCTGGTGCTGAGACGGAAAGCATCACCATTACGGAAACTTCAGCAGAAGAAACCAACACCACCATGAAACCTGGTTCAGAAGCCTCATCACCAGCCGTTTCAGACGTTCCACATTCTGATGCTCGGTCGAAATCGGGCCCTTTGGATAAGCTAGGCATTCCCAAGAGTTGGAGCGGGACAGCACTGAGCGCCACAGGCAGCAGAGCAGCAAGTAGCACGTCTAAATCTGGCCCGCTCAGCCTCACAGGGGAACCTGTGGGTGTGGGAGAGTCGCCTGGTGGGGGGAGTTCTGAAGGATCCCCTTGGAACCAAGGATCTCCTGGCAGTGGTTTTGGTAAATCCAGAAGTAAGGGGACAGTAGCAGGGGCAGGGGCAGGGGCGGAGAAGTCAAGCAAGTCAATGGCGTCAACCGTGTCTTCTATGTTCCGGTCGATTTCTCTCAACCCGTCGCGCCGCCGGGCGAGTGTGGGAGCGAGCAGCAAAGGAAGCAGCATTCCCAGCAGCAAAAGCAGCAGCAGCAGCAGCATCCCTATTGAGGAGGACACTAGCAGCACCAGCAGCAGCGGGGGCGTCATCGACAGCAGCAGTAGCAGGAGCGACAGCAGCAGCAGCAGTGGCAGTTCAGGAGGCGCACTGACAGCAGCCCAGAAGAGGGTTCGTTCATCCATTTCCCTCAAGCTTGGCTCAACTGACCTGCTGAGCAAGCGAGGGGGCAGCGGGGCAGCGCTAACCAGCCCAGGTGCCAGCACAGGAGGAGGAAGTGGGCTGTTTGGATTTGGAAGTGGGCAGAAACAGGGGAAGGGGAAAGGGAAGGGACAGGGGCAGGGGCAGGAGCAGGAGCCTGAGAGTCCCAGCAGTTTACCCAGCCCTATGTCAGCTCCTGCCACTCCGGCCGCCCAGAGGAGGAGGCTTAGCTTCTTGTTTGACATTGGGCGGCCGGTTTTGTCCCCTGTGATAGAGCCGGATCGGCCTGAGGACATCTCGACTAGCTCAGGGTTGGAGCTGGGGGGAGGCCAAGGGGTAGAGGAAGCGCCAGGCGAAGGGAAAGGGGCAGACAGAGGGGAAGTGGCAGGGGGGGCGGAAACTACAGGGGGAAGGGAAGGGGGGGCAGGGGGAGGGGAAGAGGCAGGGGAAGGGGAAGTGGCAGAGGGGAGGGAAGGGGCAGGGGGAGGGGAAGGGGCTGAGGGAGGGGAAGGGGGGGAGCGAGGGGGAGAAGGAGGGCTTGGCACTTCTTCTGGTGCTGTCGCTGAAGCTATGACAGAATCTAGAATTGAAGGGCTTAGCGTTGCTTCCAGTGATGTTGCCGAAGGTAAAACTGAATATAGAGCGGAAGGGCTTAGTGCTTCTTCTGGTGCTGGTGCTGAATTTAAGACTGAGTATAGAAGTGAAGGGCTTACCGTTGCCACTGGTGCTGTTGCCGAAAGTAAGACTGAATATAGAACTGAAACGCTTAGCGTTGCTTCCAGTGCTTCTGCTGGAGCTATGACTGAGTATGGAACTGACGGGCTAAGCATTGCTGCTGGTGCTGGTGCTGGTGCTGGTGCTGGTGCTGGTGCTGGTGCTGAAGCTAAGACTCAATATGCAACCAAATTTGGTGGCCTCTCTGGTCCCAAGGCTGGTGGTGCTGACGCTGTAGCTGCAGCAGCAGCAGTGGCGGCAGCAGCAGCGGCACAGGCAGCAGCGGCCGCATCAGAGGTAGCAACAAGAGGAGAAGCTGAAGCGGCAATATTAGAGGCAGAAGCAGCGAGAGAGATCGTCGCAGCAGCAAAGGCAGCAGAAGCGGCAAAAGCAGCAGCAACAGGAGAGGATGCAGCAGCTGCTGTGGCGGCAACCGCAGCAGAGGGGGCAGCAGCCGCAGAGGGGGCAGCGGCAGCAGCTAACGCGGCAGCAGCGGCCGCAGAGGCAGCAGCAGAGGGAGATGCCTCTGGAGCAGCCGAAGCTGCAGCAGAGGCAGAGGCAGCCGCAGCAGCGGGAGCAGCAGACGTGGAAGAGGCTTCAGCAGCATCAGTGGAGGCTGAAGCAGCTGAAACAGAAGCTGCAGCAGCAGCACAGGCGGTGGAGGCGGTAGAAGCAGCAGCAGCATCAGAGGCAGCAGCAGCGGGGGATGCTGCAGCATTTGCAGAGGCAGCAGCCTTGGCAGCAGCGGCAGCAGCTGCTGCGGAAGCAGCAGCAGAAACTGGGGCAGCAGAAGCAGAAGCAGAGGCAACAGAGGCGGCAGAAGTGGCAGCAGCAGCAGTAAGCTTCACAGCAATGGCGGAAGAGGCTGCGACAATAGCAGAAGCAGAGGCAGCAGCATTGGCAGATGCAGCCACAGCTGCAGAGGCCGCAGCAGTGGAAGAGGCAACAGCAGAAGCAGAAAGAGAGGCAAGAGCAGCAGCAGAGGCAGTGGCGAAGGCAGAGGCTGCAGAAAAGGCTAAAGCAGAGGCAAGAACAGCAGCAGAGGCAGCAGCAAAAGCAGAAGCAGAGGAAAGAGCAAAGGCAGAGGCAGCAGCAATGGCAGAGGCTGCAGCGAAAGCAGAAGCAGAGGCAAGAGCAGCAGCAGAGGCTGCAACAAAGGCAGAGGCTGCTGCAAAAGCCGAAGCAGAGGCAAGAGAAGCAGCAGAGGCAGCAGCAGCAGCGGAGGCCGCAGCAAAGGAAAAATCTGAGGCAAGAGCAGCTGCAGAAGCAGCAGCAAAGGCAGAGGCTGCTGCAAAGGCGGAAGCAGAGGCAAAAGCAGCAGCAGAGGCAGCAGCAAAAGCAGAGGCTGCTGCGAAAGCAGAAGCAGAGGAAAGAGCAGCAGCAGAGGCAGCAGCAGCGGCGGAGGCCGCAGCAAAAGCAAAAGCTGAGGCAAGAGCAGCTGCAGAAGCAGCAGCAAAGGCAGAGGCTGCTGCAAAGGCGGAAGCAGAGGCAAAAGCAGCAGCAGAGGCAGCAGCAAAAGCAGAGGCTGCTGCGAAAGCAGAAGCAGAGGAAAGAGCAGCAGCAGAGGCAGCAGCAAAGGCAGAGGCGAAGGCAGCAGAGAAAGCAGAAGCAGAGGCAAGAGCGGCAGCGATGGTGGTGGCAGTTCCACGCTCCCACGCTCGCCCTCACTCTCGCCGGCACGAGAGACCAGCAAGTGGAAAGAAGCAGGGCGGGCGGGGGAGAGGAGGCGGTGGAGGGGCAGGGGGAGGGCTGGTTGGGGGGGCAGGGCGGGCAGTGGTTGCTATTGCAGGGGGGCTGTTTCTGTTGGCGATTGGAGCTACCATTGGGAACTCAGGCCGGCAGAACAGAAGGCAGAAGAAACCTGTGTATCATGAGGTGCGTGGCGTTCTGTTCGTCTGGGGTGGGTTTTGTGCGTTTGGGATGGATTCTGTGCGGTTTGAGGTGTTTTCTATGTGTTGAGGGAGCTGCGGGGAGGGCTGGTTGGGGTGGCAGGGCGGGCAATGAAAGAGGCCAACCAAGAGGGGCTCATGGAAGACCCTCACTCACGTGATCCTTGCTTTTGAGTCGACTCAAAAGCAAGAGGGGCTGATGGAAAGACCTTCACTCACGTGATCCTTGCCCCTCTATGCCCTCTCTTCAGACTTCCGCCACCCGACGTCCCCAGGTGCAAGCAGGCAACACCATGTGCGGGTGGATGCAATGAAAGAGGCGAACCAAGAGGGCCTGGTGGAAGATCCAGACGTGAACCCTGCCTTCGCTCCCTGCCCTTGCCCACCCTGCCCTCCCTGCCTTCATTCCCCTCCTTTACCAAAACCAGGTGGAAGCAGGTGACACCATGTGTGGCATTGCTGATCGCTACTGCGTGCGTGTCGATGCAATGAAAGAGGCAAACCAAGAGGAGCTCGTGGAAGACCCTCACCTCATCCCTGCCCCTCCCTGCCCCTCCCTGCCCTCCCTGCCCTCCCTGCCCCTCCCTGCCCCTCCCTGCCCTCCCTGCCCTCCCTGCCCCTCCCTGCCCTCCCTGCCCTCCCTGTCCCCTCCCTGCCCTCCCTGCCCTCCCTGTCCCCTCCCTGCCCTCCGTGCCCCCTCTCTTCCCTCCCTGCCCCCTCCCTGCCCTCCTCTCCTCTCCCCCACAACAATCACTACCCCAACCAGGTGGAAGCAGGCGACACCATGTGTGCCATAGCTGACCGCTACTGCGTGCGGGTGGATGCAATGAAAGAGGCGAATCAAGAGGGGCTAGTGGAAGATCCAGATGTGATCTTCCCTGGAGACCTCCTCGTGGTTCCCCCCAAGGAATGACGAAGCAGAGCAACCTCCTCCTCTTCTTCTTCTTCATTCCAACGTAATCCCCCGCTGCCTTTTTGCCTCCCCAAGAGGGGCTAGCGGAAGATCCAGACGTGATCTTCCCAGGAGACCTCCTTGTCGTTCCCCCCAAGGAATGACAAGGCTGCCTCCTGCCTCCTGCCTCCTGCCTCCTGCCTCCTGCCTCCTGCCTCCTGCCTCCTGCCTCCTGCCTCCTGCCTCCTGCCTCCTGCCTCCTGCCTCCTGCCTCCTGCCTCCTGCCTCCTGCCTCTCTCCAACGTAAACCCTCCCTGCCTTTTGAGTCGACTCAAACTCAAAAGTCTCATCTTCTGTTCATCTTGGAATTCCTCCCAGAAGAGCCCCTCCTTGTTCCCACCACTTCAAAGCAAAGCAGCCTTTTATATTTCTCAACTCCTCTCCCTGCCCTCCCCTCTCTTCCTCTCTTCCCTTCTATTCCCCAGGTGAGACCTGGTGACACCGTGTGTGCAATTGCTGACAAGTACTGCCTTCACCCCGACACGGTGATTGACGCAAACGAGGGGAGGATGGCCGAGGACCCTGATATGATTTTCCCCGGCGATTTGATCTTCATTCTCAAATGATTTCTCTGGCAGTTTGTCGAAATAACGGTGGTTGTCTTTATGTAGTTTTCTTGGCACCCGAGTGCAAGGAAATATGATTTCCCTTGCTGGTGTCTGCAGTAGCAACATTGTGCTTGCGTGGTGGTTACCCTTGTGTGCTTGTGAGTTGATTTTTTAGGCGCCTCAAAAATCAACTCTTTGCAGTGACAACATTGTGCTTGCGTGGGAGGGAGTTACTCTTGTGTGTTTCCTAGGGAGCAACGAGGTGCATGGAACTACAGTACATAGGAGAAAAAAAGTGCCAGGTTAATTATGTAGTTTAATTTATTATACCGGAATGGAGTGTAGCTTCACTCCTTTAATGACCTGCTCCTCTGTTAACGAGTACAGAGCATCCATGAGGCCCACCCTCAGGGACCCAGGGCCTTGGACGCCTGGTGCTGCTGATGCCACTTCAGATGCGAGCCTGAATACCCAGTGAAGTTAGGAAGAAAAGGAAGATAGCAGGAAAAGAGCGAATGTATTAGCCTGCTTTCTTTATTTGAAGAAAAGAAAAGTCTCTTGACTTGCATAAGGAGCCTGAAAGAGGAATAAGGCGTGCTGTTGATGTGGAGAGGTTAGGCGGCGGCAAGGTGTATTCGAGTCGATTTAGAATGGAGCCTGCAATCGAAGCAACGAGGACTTGAGACATCGAAGGTAACCCTCAAATGGAGATTATATTTGACGTCTTCCTGCGGAGAGAATAGGGCAGGAAGGTGAGAAGTAAAGCGACCAAGTCGCAGGAGAGGGAAGCAAATTGCGTTGGGACTAGCGGAAGGGGAATCACCCGTGAACAGTGAGGGCACAGGCTGCGGCGAGGAGAGGCGGCAATACAGAACCGCCCGAGGCAGAAGAATGGAACCCCACTTAGAAGGCATGACGTTTGAGTCGACTCAAAAGCGAGAGCACAGGCTGCGGCGAGGAGAGGCGGCAATACAGAACCGCCCGAGGCAGAAGTAGCAGTATCAGCATCAGCGGCAGCAGAAAGGAAAGCAGGAATGAGAGCAGTGATGCTGCAGCCAGTGGCGGTGATGGATTTAAGGAGAGATGGGTGGTCTGAGAATCAGAGAGGAGGAATGGAGGAGAGTTACCCGTAAACCGCGAGAGCACAGGCCGTGGCGAGTAGAGGCGACGGCCCACCAGCATGATTATCACCATCAGCAGCAGCAGTAGCAACGAAGGCAGTGATGAGAGCAGTGACGCTGCAGCCTGTGGCGGTGATGGCTTGAAGGAGAGGCACCCCATTGTGACACGCAAGAACGGCGTGAGTAGTGGCAGTGCTGGCTTGCAGCAGAGGTGGCTGGTCTAAGAAAAGCAGAGGGAAGGAGTGTAGACGAATTACCCGTAAACAGCGAGAGCACAGGCCGTGGCGAGAAGAGGCGGTGACAGATCCGCACCCGAAGCAGGACCACGACCATCATCATCATCATCATCATCATCATCATCACGTCGTCGTCGTCGTCGTCGTCGTCGTCGTCGTCGTCGTCGTCGTCGTCGTCGTCGTCGTCGTCGTCGTCGTCGTCGTCGTCGTCGTCGTCGTCGTCGTCGTCGTCGTCGTCATCATCATCATCATCATCATCATCATCAGCAGCAGCAGCAGCAGCAACGAAGGCAGTGATGAGAGCAGTGACGCTGCAGCCTGTGGCGGTGATGGCTTGAAGGAGAGGCACCCCGTTGTGACACGCAAGAACGGCGTGAGTAGTGGCAGTGCTGGCTTGCAGCAGAGGTGGCTGGTCTAAGAAAAGCAGAGAGTAGGAGTGCAGACGAATTACCCGTAAACAGCGAGAGCACAGGCCGTGGCGAGAAGAGGCGGTGACAGATCCGCACCCGAAGCAGGACCATGACCATCATCAGCAGCAGCAACAGCAGCAGCAGCAACGAAGGCAGTGATGAGAGCAGTGACGCTGCAGCCTGTGGCGGTGATGGCTTGCAGGAGAGGCACCCCGTTGTGACACGCAAGAACGGCGTGAGTAGTGGCAGTGCTGGCTTGCAGCAGAGGTGGCTGGTCTAAGAAAAGCAGAGAGTAGGAGTGCAGACGAATTACCCGTAAACAGCGAGAGCACAGGCCATGGCGAGAAGAGGCGGTGACAGATCCGCACCCGAAGCAGGACCATGACCATCATCAGCAGCAGCAACAGCAGCAGCAGCAACGAAGGCAGTGATGAGAGCAGTGACGCTGCAGCCTGTGGCGGTGATGGCTTGCAGGAGAGGCACCCCGTTGCCACACGCCAGCATGGTGCGGCCGTCTGTGATGAAATCCGTTGCTCCCGACACTGCCACCACTGTCCCTCCCTGCGATGCCAGTTGTTGTGCTGCCGCCACTGCTGCTGTTGATGCTACTGTGCTGTCTACCCCCTGGTGGGGAGGATGTGTGGGGGGGTGGGGAGAGGAAGGAGAAGCAGGGGACGAGTTCTGTTGCTCCCGACACTGCGAGGAAAAAGCGAACAGAGAGGGGAAGGAGTGGCACGCCGTTGTGACACGCCAGCATGGTGCGGCCGTCTGTGATGAAATCCGTCGCTCCCGACACTGCCACCACTGTTTTCCACTCTGATGCAAGCTGCTGTGCTGCCGCCACTGCTGCGGTAGATGCTACCGTGCTGTCTACTCCCTGAGGAGAAGGGTGGTGTGGGGGAGGAAGGAGAGGCAGGGGGTGAAATCTGTTGCTCCCAACACTGCCACCACTGTCCCCAACTCTGATGCGAGCTGCCGTGCTGCTGCCACTGGTGCTGTTGACGCTACTGTGCTGTCTACCCCCTGGTTTAGGGTTTAGGGTGGGGAAGAAAGGAGAGGCAAGACATAAAGTTAGTTGCTCCTGACACTGCCACCACTCTTCCCCAGTCCGATGCGAGCTCCTGCACTGCCACCACTGCTGCGGTAGATGCCACTGTGCTGTCTACCCCCTGGTGGGGGGTGGGGTGTGTTGTGTGGAAGTAGAAGCAAGGGATTGACTCTGTTGCTCCCGACACTGCCACGACTGTTCCCCAGTCCGATGCGAGCTGCTGCGGTAGATGCTACTGTGCTGTCTACCCCCTGGTGGGGGGAGGAAGGGGAAGCAGGGAAGCACAGGGATGCAGATACATGGGAGGCATTAGCAGAACAAGCAGGCAGAGATTGTTCGTGCTGCTGCGTCGTTTCATGTTACTCAAAGAACAGGGTACACTTCCCGGGTGCTTGGGTGGGTTGGGTTGGCCTACCCGGGTGTTTGCACTGACGGTGCCGGCCAGAGCAAGCACTTCAGACGCATTGCTTCTCACCAGCGTTGGCTACAGAGCAAGCACTTGCGACTGTTGAGACGCTTTAAGAGTCAAACGTTTGCGCCGCTGCTGGGCTGCGTCCTGAGACTCACACATTGATCCATCATTTCGGTTGGCCTACCCGGGTGTTTGCGCTGACGGCGCCGGCCAGAGCAAGCACTTCAGACGCGTTGCCTCTCACCACCGTTGGTTGCAGTGCCAGGAGCTCCGCTGAGGTCTGCAAAAACGCAGAGATGAAAGAGAAAGGGAATTGGGAAAGCACGGGATTCGACGCTTGCCATAGCTAGCACTTCAGACGCGTTCCCTCTCACCACCGTTGGTCGCAGCGCCAGGAGCTCGGCTGAGGTCTGTGAGAGAGGGTGGAGGTGAGTGGGAAGGGGTGAGAGATGGTGAGAAGAGGTGAGAGATGAGAAACGGATAGCGATAGAGATGGAGGTTGCTTGGGTGTGCGTAAAGGAGGAAAGGCAGGCGAGAATAGGCAGGAGAGGAAAGGCAGGTGAGAACATCAAGCCTACCTTGGTTCGGCGAGAACGAGCCTCCCTTGGTTCGGCGAGAACGAGCCTACAATGGTTCGGCGAGAACGAGCCTACCTTGGTTCGGCGAGAACGAGCCTACCTTGGTTCGGCGAGAATGAGCGTACCTTGGTTCGGCGAGAATGAGCCTACCTTGGTTCGGCGAGAATGAGCCTACCTTGGTTCGGCGGGAATGAGCCTACCTTGGTTCCGCGAGAACGAGCCCACCTTGGTTCGGCGAGAATGAGCCTACCTTGGTTCGGCATCGAGCCTACCTTGGTTCGGTACGACGTGGCGCCGCAACCCACAGGGTCCAGGACCCACGGCCGATTCCGGGCAGAAATAACTTTGGCTGCCCGTTTCATGGAGTCCACCCAATCAGGGCTCAGCGTGCCGATGTTGACATAGAGCGCCGATGCCAGGCTGGCAAATTCCTCCACCTGGCGGCTTGAGGAGAGAAGGGGGGTGGGGTGTGGGGGAAGGGCGGGACAGGGGAAGTTGTGCGCGGGGTCCAAGGAAATTCGATTTTCACGTAGAGAGCGGATGCCAGGCTGGTAAACTCCTCCACCTGGCAGCTTGAGGAGAGAATGGGGGAGAAAGAGAAGGGGGGAAGGGGGAATGGGGAGGGGAGGGGTGGTGGGGAGATGTGGTGGGGGTTTGGGGGAGGAAAAGACAAGGGGAGGTGTGGTGTGGGAGTGACTTTTGAGAATTCTCGAAGGTGTAACACCAAGATGGTGTGGGTGTAACACCAATATGGTGTGGGTGTGGGAATGTTTCCTGGCAAAATCCTCCACTTGCGGGGCTCGAGGGGGAAGGGGGAAAGGGGGAGGGGGAAGGGGGGAAGGGGGAAGGGGGAAGGGGGGAAGGGGGAAGGGGGAAGGGGGAAAGGGGGAAAGGGGGAGGGGGAAGTCCAGCGCACCTCCTCTACAGAGTGCACCATGGCTGGGGCAGCGCCAGCGGCGAGGAGTGTGTTGGCAGCGGCATCCATGGATACCAGTGGACTCACGCTGCCACTGAATGGTGGGTGGGGAGGGGCGCACCTCCTCTACAGAGTGCACCATGGCTGGGGCAGCGCCAGTGGCGAGGAGTGTGTTGGCAGCGGCATCCATGGATACGAAGTTAGTGATGCAGTGAACCAGAGGGCGGCTCGCGCGCACCGCTACCAGCGCCTCCCACGCCGCTACTGCCAACTCCGGGTCGCCACCCGCGGGAAGCGGCTCGTCGCCCCCTGCTGCCGCGCGTGCCGCCGCTGTACGAGGCGATGAGCGGATCCGCGCGCGGGAAGGTGCCCCGCGGAGAGGCGCGTGGGGGAGGACGCATGGGGAAGAGGTGAGCGCGACACTTGCGGGTGGAATGCGTGCAAATGTGAGGGGGAAGGCGGAGTCTAGCGGAGGGGCTGTAAAGGAAGGGACGGCAGATACGAAACGGGCGGCGACGAACGAAGGCTGAAGAAATGTTGCCATGGATGTGCTCAGGATTCGAGCCGAAATCACCAGATAAGCACCAGAAACCAACAATAATCGCTGCGATGCGAATGTTATGGATTCGGGGAGCGAGCTGTTCAAAATAATCCTGACAGCAGTAGTTTTTTCAAGCTAGTGATGTTGTCAGAGGTGGGCGGATTCCCAGGACCCCTCAGAAGGGTTCATTTACTCCTCAAAATCACACTGAACCGTTTTGGATTTTTACAGAAACGCTTTCACTTGGTGGGAACCATTTTGAACCGCACGAGAGCCTGTCTTGATTTCGGAATTTGACTTCACCCGCTGGACAATTTCGCATTTGCTTCGCACAGAAAAATGAAAATGACGACGAGTAGCCGAAATTGTCTAGCGATTAGTTACCAGATCCTTTCTGGATCAGCTCATTTCGTTGGTGGCTACACGTTTCGTCGCCACAACCTAAAACTGTCGCAGTCGCAGAACCTTGGGATTCCCGCCTCTCGATAGAAGAAACCCCTTCACTGTCGAAGTTTCCGAGCCTCCTCATCCGCGAATCAGGCTTCGATATGAGCACGCTGACCAGCCTCCCCAAATTCCTAGATCCTGACAACTTTCTTGCAACGCTCCTTTTTTTCTCCTAATCTCACGTCTCCATTCTCCCTGATCATCCGCCGTTTCAGGCGGCATTGCTCAAGGGAAAGTGCAGGTATTCCTTTCCTCTCCTCTGTAATCCGTTTCGCTAAGGATCGCATGTCGCGATCGCCTGCCTGCAGTTGAGCCAATGCGCTGCTTATCCAACCAGCTTTTGCCAGGTCAGCTTTCTGCCTTTCCTGGTACGTCTGGTTCATAACTCTAGAAACTATCATGATAATTGACTGGCGTTTTTTCTTCATCATATCAAGCGATTTTCCTTCTCTCTCGTGCTGATATTAACGATGCCTAGCTCCAAGCACGTTCTGCAGCAGCGTCTTTATGCGTTTCATATCTCACCAGACCGAACTCAACCAAACCTTTTTCGATATGCTTCTCCTTTCCCTTTCCCTGCGCTCCTGGCTCCCTGCTCCACGCGTCACACGTACACTGTCATCTCGGTTATTGTCACATGTCGCAGTGGTAACTCCTTGCCTTCGCTGCTTCGGCTCCTACGCTCGGATTTCGTCCTTTCCGCAAGTTGCTGCCGCTCCCGCGGTTCTCCGCATTTCCGCGCCCCACACGGTTCTCCGCGCCTCCGTCTCTGCCTCCGCTTTTAACCATCGCAGCAGCGCCCTCGCTTGGCGTTCCGCGAATCCGCTCGCTGCGCAAATCGCAGCACCTTTAACAGCGTTCGCGAAACCTTCGCGAAACTCAACGAGCGTGATAGCGATGGCGAGCGAATCTGCAGCAGCGGCGGCTGAAGCGGTTAAGACGATGGAAATCACTGACGGAGAGAAGGTGGGTAGCGAAGGCGTGGGAAGGGGAGGAGCGAGAGGGAGATGTTTTGAGTTTTGAATTGGCTCAAAACCAGATTGGCTCATGAAATTCTAGTCGACTTAACAGTTATGGGTCCACACTAACAAATTCTTTACCTAAATGCAACCTTCCGTCCCCCTCCCCCCACCACTCTCTCCCCCACCCTTTCCCCCGCCCCTTCCCCCACACGTTTCGCCTTACCCTTTCCAAACTCTCCTCCCCCTTACCTTTCCCTTCTCCCTCGCCTTCCCATCTCTTTTTTTCTGCCCGTCAGGGTCAGGAGGGCAGCGTGCGTGACCTGGTTGCCCAGCTCGTGGCGCAGTCGCTGGCAAAAACTTTTCCCGACCTGCCCGATCTGGAGCCACTGGTTACCACGTGTAACAACCCCAAGTTCGGGGATTACCAATGGTGCGTCTGTTGCTCCATCCATCCATGCGATCAGTTGGATTTTGGCCTTTTACGCATGCTGAATGCAAAACAAACACAGAAAGTTTGGGGATTATTTGTGGCGTGGCTGCTGCTTCTTGAAGTCTGTGTAATATTGTTGGTTCTGAGGTGACTTCTGAGTCGACTTTTGAAGTCACCTCATGTCTACTGCTTCTTGACGTCTGTGTAATATTGCTGGTTCTCCATGTGGCCATGCCTGTCTGTCTGCCATTCTCCGTGCATGCGTGCATGCAGCAACAACGCCATGGGCATCTGGTCGCGCATCAAGGGGACCACCACTACCGAGTTCAAGAATCGACGCCAACGTTTGATTTGACTTGTTGCACTCCTTTTTCTCTCTATTCCTCTGCATGTTTGCCTCTGAACCACCCCCCTCCTCCCCCCCCCTTGCGTGCGTGCAGCAACAATGCCATGGGCATCTGGTCGCGCATCAAGGGCTCCACCACCGAGTTCAAGAACCCCAACGCCATTGGCCAGGTGAGAGCGTGGGTGTGTGTGTTCATGTGCAGCGTTGGCTGCACCAACGCCATTGGCAGCAGCAACGTTACGACCTTACATCACCATGGGCTGGGCGGGCATCAAGGGGTCCACCACCGAGTTCAAGAACCCCAACGCCATTGGTCAGGTGAGAGGTTCAGGTCCTGGGCGAATTGTAGGTATATATTATTGGCAGTTGAATGATCGAACCATTCTTACTCTCCAGTTGTAAGATATCTGACAACAATCAAACCCCCCTTTGTACCTGGTGCCCTTTGCCTTTCCATCTCCTTCCCCCCCTCTGCCTGCTTTCCACCTTCATAGGCGATCGCCAAGAACCTGCCGCCCTCTTCGATGCTGGAAAAGACGAGCATTGCCGGCCCGGGCTTTGTGAACACCGTCCTGACCCAAGCCTGGCTGGAAGAGCACGTGTCTGGCGTCTTGAAGGGCGCTGGCATCGCTGCGTGGGCTCCCAAACTGCCTGTGGCGCGGGCAGTGGTGGACTTTTCATTTCCCTTCCCAACAATCAAAGCCCAGCCTTTCCAAGAAACCAAACAGGAATCAAACATCCCGAATCCTTGCCATCCCCATGTCTCTACCCTCCCCTCCTTTCCAGGCAATCGCCAAGAACCTGCCGCCCTCCCCGATGGTGGAAAAGACGAGCATCGCCGGCCCTGGCTTCGTGAACATCGTGCTGACGCAAGCCTGGCTGGAAGAGCACGTGTCTGGCGTCTTGAAGGGCGCTGGCATCGCTGCGTGGGCTCCCAAACTGCCTGTGGCGCGGGCAGTGGTGGATTTCTCGTCGCCCAACATCGCCAAGGAGATGCACGTGGGGCACCTGCGGTCGACTATTATTGGTGACACGCTGGCCAGGATGCTGGAATACTGCCATGTGGAGGTTCTGAGGAGGAACCATGTCGGCGACTGGGGCACCCAGGTACAACCAGGGTTGAAGGGGGGTTTGGATTGCATGGCTTAAGGGATCCTGGGTGCGAGGTTTTAAGGGCCTGCTGGAATACTGCCACGTGGACGTGCTCAGGAGGAACCACGTCGGGGACTGGGGCACCCAGGTAGGACCAAGGGTTTAGGGTTTAAGGGGAGGTTCGAGGGGATGCACGTGGGGCACCTGCGGTCCACCATCATTGGTGACACGCTGGCCAGGATGCTGGAGTACTGCCACGTGGAGGTTCTTAGGAGGAACCACGTCGGCGACTGGGGCACCCAGGTAGGGCAAACGAGGGGGAATCTGGGGGTGGTTTCTAGCGTTTCAGGGTTAGGGTTTAAGGATTGGGTTTGTGGGTTCAGGATCGCTGCTTGGGCGCCCAGGCTGCCTGTGCAGCAGGCAGTGGTGGACTTTCAGATTGGCATGCTAATCCAGTACCGGTTTGTCAAGTTCCCCAAAAGGGAATCGTGGGCAACCAGGCATTAGGCGACCTGCAGGTGTTTTAAAAGGCGGCCAATGGCGTGCTCTCTTTCCACTCACACATGCAGTCCCACTCACACATGCAGTCCCACTCACACATGCAGTCCCACTCACACATGCGGTCCCACTCACACATGCACTACACCCTCCCTGTTCTCCCCTCCACACCCCTCCCCACGCATTTTGGCATGCTGATTGAATACTTGTTTGACAAGTTCCCCGACTGGGAAACCATCGGCGAGCAGGCCATAGGCGACCTGCAGGTCTTTTACAAGGCGGCCAAGAAGCGATTCGACGAGGATGGAGAGTTCAAGGAGAGGGCGCAGCAGAGGGCCATTCAAAGGCATGCTCGCTCGGCTCACTGCCCTCCTTCCACTCTTCCCCTCCCCTCTTCCCCTCCCTCCCCTTGACCATGCAGTTCGGCATGCTCATCGAATACCTCTTTGACAAGTTCTCCGACTGGGAAACCATCAAGCCATTGGCGACCTGCAGGTGTTCTACAAGGCGGCCTCTGGCATGCTCTGCACGCGGCCCCACTCACACATGCACTGCACCCTCCCTGTGCTCCCCTCCTCAACCGCCCTACTCAGTTTGGCATGCTCATCGAGTATCTATTCGACAAGTTCCCCGACTGGGAAACCATCGGCGATCAAGCCATCAGATATCTCCAGGTGTTCTACTAGGCACCCTGTAGCATGCAATTTACCCTCCCCTCCCTGTACACCCCTCCTCCACACCCGCCATGCAGTTTGGCATGCTCATAGAGTATCTATTCGACAAGTTCCCCGACTGGGAAACCATCGGCGATCAGGCAATAGGCGACCTGCAGGCTGCAGGTGCTCTACAAGGCGGCCAAGAAGCAATTTGACTAGGATGCAGAGTCCAAGGACATGCCTACTACTCACTGCCCTCCTTTTACTCCCCCCCCTCTTTCCCTCCCTCTTCCCCTCCCTCCTTTCCCCCTTCCTCTTCCTTCCTCCTCTTTCTTCCTCCTCTTCGTTCCTGCGCACATTCACCCGTGCAGTTTGGCATGCTAATCGAGTATCTATTTGACAAGTTCCCCGACTGGGAGACCATCGACGAGCAGGCAATCGGAGATCTCCAAGTCTTTTACAAGGCGGCCAAGAAGCGCTTCGACGAGGATGCCGAGTTCAAGGAGAGGGCGCAGAGGGCCATTCAAAGACATGCTCGCTCGGCTCACTGCCCTCCTTCCACTCTTCCCCTC